ATTGTTAAATAACCTACTTTAAATTTTCGCTTGTTTCTTTTTTTAAGAAAATACGATATTATAAATAAAAGTGATGCTAAATTCAAATTTGTTCTATTAGATCTCTGCTCACCTCAATCAGAATAAATAATTTTAAATTAAGTTTTATTCCAGTTGAATCAATAAAAATACTTAAACAAAAAAAAAAATTACTAAAAATTTTAATTTCACCGTGACAGGTAATTTACATTAAATAAACTTTTTCCATTAAAATGTTTCTCGCTGTTGATTATTAAAAGTAACAGTATGAAAAATTGCAATTTCCAGATTAAGAGAAGTTCATTGAATTACTGAAACTAGTTTCATAACAGTCAGATGAGTTTAAAAAAAAAAAAGGAATTTAATTTATTTGGTTAATATGTATTGTTTGAAAGAGATAAAAAAAATAAAAAATATTCTTTTTAACATTAAATAATAGTTGAGCAGTGTATATATTATTAATTAAGAAAAAATAAATAAATATGTATAAAACAAGATTATTCAATTAAAAAAAAAAAAAAATCACAAAATATAAGTGGATGACATTTTGTTCTGCTTTGAAATTTATTGATAAAAGTGATACTTTATGAAGACTATATTCTAAAGTTGTCGATATAAAGTAATAATTCAACAGAATAAATCAATATTCTAGTGTCACCAATAATAGAAACACATGTTTAGATAAAAAATAGAGAATAAAAATTAAAATTACTCAAGAAATTTTTGTAACAAATGAAATCAATCAATTTGTAGCACAAAAAATGATTTTCTATCGGTGTTTTGAAGCTTCTTAGGCTCAAAATTTCATTTGCTGCATTTAAACAAATTTTTATAAAATTGATTAAATTTTAACTCACAGTAATAATGAATCTACATACTTTCAACAAACGAATCAGTATATTTTCATGAAATTTTAGAATCAATTGATTAAGGAATTTTAAGATTACTAAAAAATACTTATGAATGACGTATTTTTGTAAATAACTCAAAATTGACCTGACTGATTCGATTTAAATTTTTTTAGAAATTAAGCTGTTATTTTGAAGTTGTTTAATACGATTTGGAAATAATTTGAAAAAATCCGAAAAATTTTACGGACCTTGAAAAGTTAAAATCAGTTAAAAATTTGATCTTGAAAAATGAGACTAAAAAGAACCAATTTTGAAATTCACTCAGTGATACGTTTATAATATATCTATATATGTATGTAAACTGACAGATTATCTCGATCTAGAATACTCCTGATAATAAATTACGTAAAACCAACAAAGATTTTATTGATAAACATTTCGGTGAAGCCTAGTCGACATATACAAGTAAACGTGATAAGTCGATACCAAAAACTCAGCGGGGTATCTCCGTTGTATACTTAAGTAACACCGAAAAATTTTCTAGGGTAGGGTTTTCGTGTAAACAATATCGCCATACTAAGACTAAAAAAAAAATAACTAAACTTTACGTATTTTTATGAGTAGAGAGAAAAAGATGAAGAATTTCTATACAGAAAAAATTGTATTGAGTGTAAAGTCAGAGGAAGAGGATAAACCTGCTTTACAGCAAAGTCAACAGCTTGATGAGCTTTTATTTAATATATTATTGTATTAATCTATGTTATAGTATGCTTAAAGCAAATTTGTTCGTTTATTACGATATTTGCAAAACGTTTACATCTATTATAATAATATTTATATACTTTTATAATCTATATTATCTTTTGACGAAATAATATCGCAAGTAAACAGAAGTAAAACGTAAATAAATAATAGAATAATTTAGTGAATGTTACCGTTTTATTATCAGAATTGCATGAAAGATACATTCATGGTCATTAATACCGAGTAAGGTCAGGCCTCGAGTCACAAGGAAAGATGTCGAATGACTCATTCTGATCGATATATTCTTACTCGGCATCATACATTGCCATGTGAATCATATGTTGATAACGTTTCATAAAATCTCTTCATTTTACCTGTATAATTAATTGATGCTTTTCAATAGCGATTATTTATTTTAGTCACCCAATTATTTCCTTGTCAAATTTCAATTTCATTCTGCTTCAATACATTTCATCAACAGAGGTAAAATAATTGTATAAGTTATCATTGTTTATATTACAATAGAAATACTATGTAATAAAGTTATCAACGTTCTGATATATTGCTAATGACGATATTTTTATTTAATAATTTCGAACTTTATAAAGTAAAATTTAAGCTATTTACAACTCAGGTGTGTGCATATTAATTGTTTAATTAATTTGTAAATGAACTTAAACGTTTTTCTGTGTACAAATTATTATTAAATTGTCGATAAATTGTAATAAATTATCAAAATATTTCATCTTACAATTTGTTTAATTCGTAATTTTGTTCAGTGACTTGATTCTATAATTAACTATCCTGTCATTTTTTTTTTTTTTTTTTCATTATTCAATTATCTGGAATTTTTTTTAAACATAAACAATTATAATTTTCTAACCTACTATTTCAAAAATTGAAAAAAATAATTTTAAGTTAGAAAAAAAAACCACTTGATAAGAATTGATATTTTCATATTTATCATAATTAAATTTTTTAATTATAAAATGAGAGAACGAGATATTTGATGAAGAAAATATTTTATAAAAGATAAATTTCAGATAGTGGCGTTATAGACAAGAAAATTATAATCAAATTTAGATGTTAATCTAATCGAAAATTTAAAAGAATACTTGAACTGACAATTTAATTTTAGAATAATCAAAATGGATGATCTTTTGAAAACTTAACTTGATGTGATGATCAATGCCAATTGCATAATACATATCCATTACTTATAACCGAAATGGTTTCAATGATCATTAGAAAGTAATTATTTAAAAAAACATAATAGAAGTAATTTCATAATAAAGAAAATCTGTATCTGATATGAATAATTTTAATTTACAAGTTTTATAATTTATTAAGGAAGTTAATATGTTCATCTAGTTTATGTAATACAATAATTATGAAAGAAATAAAATAATAGAAATGACTCAATAATAAATACTAATAAATTAAATCGATTTTTTCTGTCTTGAATAAACTTATATAGATTTATAATTTGTGTTTTAATATAAAAATAAATTTATACGGTGTTTTATAAGCACGTTCGATGTGATTATAAATGGCAGGTATCATATAAAAAATATTGTAATAATAATAATAAAATAAATATCGAAAAAGTCTTGCAGACGCGTACGTTTATAAATGCCGGATATATTATAATATACACGAGAAGCACGAATGAACACGAACGAAAGCGAGTTCGAACGTGCGTTGGAAGGTTGCGGCATCGACGCGATGTCCTTTTCTCCCCACACTGCTAAAATCTTCGATATATATAAATATGTATAGGTATATTAGTGTATGAGAAAGGGCGGGTGATAAAAACTATGTATATATATATATATATATTTAATTGTAGATTTATATATAAATATGTATTATATATTTATCCACAAATGAAACGTCTTAAAACGTTATTTAACTAAGAATAGTCATTAAAGTAAATAAACGAAATTCTAGTACGTGTTTTATAGATAATAAATATGATAATAATATTAATAATTAAGTAAGATAAAAAAAAATAATTTATTATAAGAAATAATAAATAAAACTACCATATCGGCACCCAGGTCTTTCATGTCGCAGTAAAGAAATAGATCCCCCGGTGGTTTCATCCAGTCGTCAATATTGTCACCCGGGCTATATCCAACACCGAAACTCTCCACCGTCTCCAAATTAATCGTCACGGTAATTGTCACAATCACACAGGTTAAATAAAAATTCACAAAATAGTACTATTTTTATCCCAACGATATAAATAAAATAATATTATTTATAAATGAGGGGCGCTAACAGCGTTAATTTCGGCCCTGAACTCCCGCTACTTCTGGAACGAACGTAGAGTTGCAGCCTCTCCTTTTCCCTTTTTCCTCCACCTCTTATCTTTACGCTTTTGACAGCAATTTACAACAACTGACTCTTTGGCTATTAATGTCCGAAAATCAACAGTAGGCTTAGTCAAATTTCATCTATTATTGCACATACACTTTTGTATACATGTAAAATATTTATACAAATCTATATGTATACGGAGAAACACTGAATTTAAATAAGGACTAAAAATTTAAGTGATTTTGTTTGTTTTTTATTTTAAACAATGACGTTGTTTTTTTTTTATTTTTGTTGTTAATGTTTTTGTCAAGATATTCTTCAGATACCTTTTACTTTCTTGACTGACAACCGCTAGAGCTTTCCTACTCGTTCCCACACCTAAAGTTTATCCTTCTTTGTCTAATCGAGTGTGCTCTCTCACCCACACACCTATTGCCGTTTTCCGCCTTCTCACCACGCTATTTACAATCACAAACAATTTACTAAATATATCACGTTTAAATCACATTCACCCACTTATAATGGTCGTCCATTTAGTCATCGCGACGCGGTGTTTATCAATTTTCCGTGCCGCAGCTCCTCAGACGCTCAACAAGAACGTCCCGTGGACGTTTGTGAAAAATATTATTTCACGTTAGCCGGCCTGCTGGATTCAGACTACCCGTCAAACGAAACAAAGAACGACGCGGTGACGCTGGCGTCGCCTCGCGGACGTTGTTACTAACACTCTTATCCCCTCTCTATATCATATTTATTTTCAACTTTTTTTTTGTTTTGTTGTTTATTTTTACAGCTTTATGCATATTTTATTCCAAATATCCCAAAAATATTTAATTTTATCAATGTCACTGTTATTATTCAACACTTGTTATTATATTCTATCCGTTGGTTCAATCGATATAAATAATTTATAAACGATACCCACCGCGCGTACGTAGCTTGAAGAAATGATTAACTGATAGATACAATTATGCGAATCATATATTTATATATAATTATTAATGTAAAACCGTCATAGCCGGTGAAATGACGCGTACACGTGCTATAAGAAAATTATTTTTCTTATCAACATATAGATCGCGCTACTCGATAATTCTATCAGTCAAATTAATATTTTTATAATTTTGACTGCATTTAATTATTTATTATTTACAGATTAAATTTTTTTTTTTATATGTCAAAGTCATTTAAAGAAATGACATTGCAATTTGAATAAAAATTGGGTATTAATTATTATTTTATCTACAAGTCAAAGGGTTATTTTTTCAAAATTAACTTGACTGTTATTTTCCTGACCTTGACACAATTTTTCTTATAATTTAAACCTTACTTCTCTTACTTTTAAATGTTTGAATACAAGATCTTTAGTATGAATACATTCACTCACATTAGGTGATACAATGCTTTAATGCAAGTTTTGCGCACGACTGATGTGGGCGCGATTTGTTTCGATAGAATTTCACTGCAGTTACCGCATAAGCTTCAATAATTTTTTTTCAGTGAATTCGTTTGAGAAAATAAAAATTTTTTGGCAACTAGTATCCCAAGCATATGTATTAAATTTATGTTATAAATAAATGATGAAGCAATTACACAATTAATTTAAATTTACCTGGCCATTTCTGAATTGCTGTTGCTGTTGTTGTTGCTGCTGTTGTTGTTGTTGTTGTTGTTGTTGTTGTTGTTGTTGCTGCTGTTGCTGTTGTTGCTGCTGTTGTTGTTGGTGATGAAATAATGCGACTTGTTGTTGTGTTGTCATTTGATTGTTTAGATAAACCAGGTGCTCTGTTCCAGGCGCTGCGCTCTGAATAGATTATTTAAAAGTAATTAAATAACTAAAATCAAATTTATAACTTGGTTTATGTAACTATATGTTTACCTTAAGCTGCATTGGATGTAATTCATATGGTAAATGAACATTATTCATTGTTTGGAGACCTAGTTGCTGTGGTTGACTTTGCTGTGGCACACTCAGTTTTGTCATCGGATACTTCCATTTTTCATGGTTCTGTAAATATAATATAGATATTATTGAAATCTATAATTATCAGCATTTGTATTCTACTTTTTTATTATTTATTGATGAATAATTATTATTATTACAAGCTTTTAATTCGAACAAAAATATTTAATATTACTAATTTTACTTTTTTGTTATTAATTAGGAATTAAATTGTAACATGAAAATGATTTTTTTTTCATTGTTATTTGAACTTATTGGTTGTAAAAAAAGTTAATAATTTGATAAATATAAAAAAGATTAATTTGAACAAATATTTAATACAACTAACTAATATATTGTAATAAATTTTATTGCTTATGTGATAAATATTATCTATTAAAAAACTATTTAGTAGTAATTGTTTCTTTTTATTTGCATGACTCATGATCCGAACCATCAGAGAGTGCTTTACGATTGACAATTTGAAAATACAATCTGTAAACTTGTAAATTAAAAATTATTTAGAGTAAATGATTAGCTTCATTAGTTTAAAAATTAAAAAAAAACAAAAAAAAAAAAACAAATTATTGAAATCATAATAGTTGAGCAAAAAAATTATGTTCAAAACGTAGATATACAAAATAAACACCAAAAAATGTACTGATAATTATTTTTATTACTAATATCTTTGATTACTTTTAAAAATATGTATTACAATATTTTAGTATTGGAAATTCGTAAATTTGTTTTTATAACAATTGTCAATAATAAAAGCTAACTCATAATAAAATGAAGTTCGAAAATAAATTTTTGTCCAGAAACAAATTTCTTAGCTCAAGAATCGTTTAAAATAAATTTTGGTTTTTTGACAAAACAATATCAATATCTATCATGATAATAAAATATTGGCATTAATTTTTATAGATTAACAAGCGAATAGGTTCACTTGAATTAAACAAAAAATAATTCGATCAATTCTGGAGACAAAAAAATATATTCTTGAAAATGATCAAGAATATGTATTCTTATGACAAGAAAATTTTCTCAAGAGTAGTAGTTGTTTTTCTTAGTGTAAATTGAAAATATTCATATTAAGTATGTAGTGCATCGTCTGATAAGAAAAAATTTTCTATGTAATTTTAAGTAATTCATTTTTTCTCAATGTAGAATATACCAATCAGGTGTCTATAATTAAGTAATCCAAAAAATTGTTGAATATATTCCTGAATTCATGTTTGCTAAAAATAATCATCGAGATCGATAGCATTTTCAATCTTTTTTCCTCATTATAATTCAATATACGTTAAAATAATTATAAATTGAATTAAAAACCAATAGATAAAAATTAATCATTTACCAACCAATAAATTAATTAAATATAAATAACTAATTTATACATACGTTGTCTATAATAGCATCATCAGCAAGTGCCCAAGCTCGTGGTGCTTGTTTACTTTGAAAAGTAGTAGCTTGAGCATTATAATCAGATTCTGTAGGTCTTTGAAAAACATAACCAACCATAGCGTCATCTTGGGTTCTATTAACATTCATCTGGTTGGTTTGTCCAGCTTGGAGTCTCATAGCATCTCCACTTGCCATTATTTGTGCACATTGATCAATATCCTGAATTAACATCAAATATTATTCAACAACAGAGTAAACAATTTCAATATCAATAAATAATAACTGCGCCAATTACGTCAGTAACTTATGTAAAAATACAAAACCATTTGATCACATCAATAATTAAAGATGCAATTGCAAAAAATAAAATTTACATGATATTAGAAATACTAAATAATCCACAATTTCTAAAGTAAACATATAATCTTAATAAAAAAAGAATATTTAAAAATTTGGATTTGCATTTTTAAAAATAAATTTCTATAACAATACCTAATTACTGTAATAAAAGAAAAACATAAAAATTGTATGATTTTAGGTATTTTTAGAATCATAACTTAACACAGTGGTAATTAAAAGTAATCAACATACAGAAGGCATGTGTCCATTTGCAGAAGGATGATGCAGCTGCATGGAGGGTGCCGGTTCGTTGCTACCACCAGTTACAGTACCAGGCCACTTCATTCTGTTGAGCACTAAGTAACGTATCTTTTACTCACTATGTTGTTTAAATGGTAGACGCGGACGTTTTAATGCTGAAGACAAGAGAAAGAGAATGGAGACACAGATAAAAAAAAATGAAAGACGATAAAAGAAAGAGCGGAGATAAAAGACAGAATAATGATGCGAGAAACTCGCGGTGAAGGTTATCCCGATGATACTTAAACCGGCGTCCAAATATTTATTATTATTATTATTATCACTACGTCTAGATCATGTTAATAATTATATTCTGTTAAATATATTTACTTAGCCATTATATTTCTGTTTCTTCTCTCTTTCTCTCTCTCTCTCTCTCTTTTTCTATTTTTTCTTAACTATTTACTCGTCTTTTGAAAAACTATTATTCAATTGAATTTCACTGACTTTTTCGATCAAATAACAGACCAAGTAAGAGTAATGGAAGCTAAATACAAGGGCGCACACCGTCGGATTTTTGACAACACGTATACAAACGAGGTGTAACACAAAGGGTCGAGTATATATATATATATATATATATATATATATATATATATATACACATGTATCTACCGGTTCACAATGACGGTCCACTTGCTGGTGATAAATTTTTTTTTCAACTGTCACGAAATCATTATTTATTAAATAGGTACAGAAAATTTCTAAGATTTATATTATTTACAAATTAATTATCCTGATTGATGAGATAATAATGATGGTATACTCGTATGATTTTTTTAGCATAAAAGATTGGCGTTTTTCTTTTTTTTTTTTTTTTTTTTTTGAAGTTGATAGGTTTGCTGATTTCGTGATTTCCGCACACAGCTTCAACTTGGGAATTTTGTCAAAGAGGGAGTCAGTAGTAATTCTAGTTTTAGCTATTCTGAAAACGTCAGATATTAAGAAAAAAAAAAAAGAAAAAAAAAAGATAAATTTACAATTTACAATTACTTTCTTGTCTGGATAAAATTTTTTTACATAATTACTTTTTAATTTATTTACAATATTTTCTGACTTGTCTGAGCTTTTAGCCACTGCCAAAACAACGGTTGGATTCACAACGCTAACACAAATGTCTTTTCAATCACTACGTTTATTTTCAAGTTGTTAGTAACTATATTAATAATTTATTAAATACACTATTCACATATATTTACAAAAGGACACGAATAAATAACACGCGTCCAGTGGCATTCGCGATTTTCGCGTGCTTAGATGCAACGCGATTTTGATGACTGTCAAATGCCTTACACTTTTTCTTGGCTAGAAACGGCGTGCCGACATCTTTCATCGTTCACTGCGTATGCGCGAAAATGCCATGCTTTTTATCTCACTCGTTCACTTTATAACCAATCAGTTGTTACGTTTGTATTTGCATGTTTAACGCGCCAAAAATTGTAACTATTTAAAAGTTGTAAATTTGTTAAAATTATTTTGACTACTCTTTAATAGTTTATTGTGCGTAATCTACTACATACTGACCTTGATGAGTTGCTAGCTAAAAATAATAAGTTTAAAAAAAATACTTAATCCAAGTATAATAATTTATTTTGAGAGAATATATAAAATCTAGAAAACCAAGTTAAAAATATTTTTTCAAATCATTTCTTTTTTAGTTTTATCAAAAATCAATTTTAAGAAAATAAATTAAACACTGATTAAAATATATTGAATTTGATAAATTTCAATGGTAGGTTTGTTATATATGTACAATTTAAATTATTACACATTAATATATTTCCTTATTTTCTTCTCTCTCGGTGGATTTGTTAATTTTATTGAAATATTTCTACAAGGATTTTATAGAAATTATACTTATCTGTATTGAATTATACACATTAGTTTTATTTTTTATTTATTAATTAAATAGGAATTGTAATTCAATTTGTGTTCTCTTAAGTTTAAAATCTACCTCCTCTCACTTCTTACATTGCACAATGTAATCTCAACAGTCTATTGAATATAAATTTAACTATAAAATTAATACTACCGTTTAAAATAGTAGTGGTTTTTTTTTATTTTATATTATTTCTGTTTTTTTTTTTTTTAATTTTACGATAAAAAAGATTCTTTATGAAATTTAGTGACGATGAAAAAATTAAAAATCTTCTGACTGTTGAAACACAACTTGTGACGATAAAAAAAAAAATGATTACCTTCTAGAGATAATATTTCATTGAAAAACATCTATGTTCATTAATTTATACGATTAAATTGCATTTTTATATTCGAGTAAAAAAAAAATTATACATATATTTTTAACAAGAATTATCTAAATAAAAAAAAAATAAAACAAAAAAATGTTTATTTTTTCTTAGTTAAATAATCATTTAATTTAACATTACTAATTAAGGAAATGAATCACACACAACTATGTGTTAAAGACAAATAATAATGTAATGCAATGCGAATGTTTCACTATGAACATTAATTATTTATATATAACAATTTTAATGGAAAAAGATGCAAGAACCGTGAATTATTGCGAAGTATTTAAAATCTTTTTGATAAAAAATACCATTCACGATTGTTAATAACATTTTTTTGTTCTGTACAAATGTGAGATGAATGAAAATCTTTCTCTCTCTCTCTCTCGCTTGCTCTCTATTTTTCTTTTTCACTGCATCCTTACACACGACATCAGATAATAAGTGCAAACATATATACACTTATATATAAATTAATATTCTCTTGATTAGAGAAACTGATGATACATAATTAAAACAAAAAAAAAATCATTGGATATTTAATGACTATAATCGAAGTCAATTTCGCATTTTTTTACTTAATATCAATGTTTTTATATTTTTAAAATTTTTTATTTGCTTTAAAAAATCGTTTCTTCATCCTCTTTTTCACTTACGTACTCTCTTATATATGTTTAATATTTACAAGTGCAAAAAGTGTCTTCACTGATACAGGCACTATGGCTTTGGACGTACACTAAAGATGTAAAGATAATTAGAGTACATCCTCAAGGAGCTTGCGAAGAGGAAATATGTTTAAAAACTAAAATTTATTAATTTGATATTATTTTTGGCCACTTGTAAGTGATTATTTCTTCGAAAACCCCTTTTACAGAATGACATTTATATTCTGACTTAACTATCTTTTTAAACAAATATTACATCTTTTTTTTCCATATTTTTATTATAGAAAATTATAATATAAGATTTAAAATCATAAATTCAAGGTATATGTATACATATATATTTTTTTTAATGTGGTTTTGTCATTCTCTGATTCACATGACTTGAGTTCGCTCCCACTTTGATACATACATTGATCAAAATTTTTACAAATAAATGAAAGTCATTGCACGAGTTAATAAATTCCTAATATTATACAAAACAAACTTCCTCTACTCGCTCTCTTCTTTCAAATTAAATTATTATAATTTATTGATCAGTAATTATTTTAACAAACCACATCAAAATAATAAACTCAAATATGCTGCCAAAAAATAACTTGTACGGATTCTCTTTGCATATATATTCACCATTTACATATAAAAGATAACTTGCATGTGTAAGTATTGTAGTTTATTACATCACGTAATCAATATATATTATTTGTTATTTTCCAAGTGCATTGAGTTAAATATGTGATATGTTATCTGTACATTATAATTTTAATATTAAATATTATAACATATTAATAAATAAAATTAACTGTATATTGCATAATTTACTATTTACTAATCAATTGATGATGACTGCGTACAATTGAAAGTTGAAAGCGAGATTTATAATTTGATCACTGGTATCCACAATATTCTCTTGTTGTACTTGAGTAGAATAATATAATTTTCATTCCTTTTGTTTACTACATGCATTTATATTGGACTGTAATCAGATACTCAACTAACAAGGGAAACGAACTCACAGATTAGAGTTTAATGAAAGACACATAAAAATAAATTTCTGCTCAAAAAGTAATCAGTTGTCCAGTAAATAATTGTTCTAAAAAGGAAAGTCGAAGAGATCGGACAGACCTTCGCCAGAAGCTAATGAAAATGAATAATCGTTTTCGGAAAGTGGCGGCTCCAACGACATAAGCGATTCTCCGAAATCAAGAATACTCATATCTAAAAAAAAAAAAAAAAAAAAAAAAAAAAATTGTTTATTCATAAAATTAATACATGTTGATAGTGAAAAATAAATTAATTTACAAAAAATTGCAGTGTAAAAAATAAATAAATTTTTTTTATTAAGATGATTAGAACAATCACCTAACTAGAACTCTGCCTGTGATGTGATTTATTATAAAACTACACAAGTCACAGACAGAGCTCCACAAGGTAAATGATACAGTGAGCGTTCTGTAAATAAATTACAAACTATTTGGAATAATTCATCAATTAGTTTTATTAATGCAAGTAAATTAAGTTTACCTGACGACATTTGATCTTCCGTTTGTAGTTGATATTTTCCACCACCCATGGGTTCAAAATCATCAGTCTCACCCAACATAGCATCTCTCATACCCGATGCTGCTGAAATCGTTTCAATTTCACGTTTTATTGCACACGGATACTCTGTTTTAATTTTCATTCGAGGTTCTATCCGGTGTGTTTGTTGTTCTTGGGTAACCAAAAGTTCAGATGGTAATTGAGATGGATTTTTAGACTTGGATAAAACTGATGCAGATTGTTGTAATTGTGATGATGTCGTTGTGGTTTGATTTTTCACTGTGGAATCATCAGGACATAAGAATACTTCGATTTCACCATGTGACGACCTCATGTGAATTTGTAGCTAAAATAAAAAATAGAAAATATATTAAAAAAAAAAAAAAAATAAATAAATAAATAAATAGCTTACAACATTAATAATTTAAAACGAAAGAGAGAAATATTTACTTTGGGTTGCCCACAATTACTTGTGGGTTGTGGTACGTGTAGTGTAGCTTCCGGTGGTGCTTTTACTGCCATTATTGCTTGATCGCGATATGCCGGCACTGAGCGTAAGTCGTGATAAGTAACGTAAGCGTATCGTCTATCAGCACACAGTTCTCTTAAACTTTCTTCAGCACCGAGGATTAAACGATCTAAAGCATTTTCCTTAGCTTCTAAATCAGTCACTTCTTGCCTCAGTTCAAGAATATTATTTCTCTCACCCGGCAACTGCCCACCTCTAAAAAAATTGATATTCATATTTTTAATTAATAAAATATAAATATGAAGAAAGTAAAAAAGAAAACAAAAACTTGTACTTGTACAACAAAATTAACTTACTTCCATTGAATATTATTTTTACTTTTTTTCTCCAATATACCTATACCTTCTAATACATTTGTAATATCGTATATTCTTCGTTTTTGTACTCCTAATTTTTCGGATGCGACATTTAAATCTACTACGCCGTCATTACTATTCTCCACTAAATTTATAAATTTTTTAGTTAGTAAACTTAACGACGTGTCATATCTTGTTCTTTCCAAATTTTTACCTATTTCAAATATTAACCATTAAATTAATAATTATCATTATTATTATAATTATAAAATATGATTTTATCGTTCTTTCTGATTAACCATGTAACTGCGAGCATCTAATTTTATATAAACCAAAAAAAAAAAAAAAATACAGTATCTAAAATTTTTGCTATTTCGAAAATTAAAAACATTAAAATAGAATGTAGTTACAAGATAAATACAGAAAGGAGATTGTATATAAATTGTAAAAGAATATGTACTTTTTGAGGGGGTATGATTTGAGAATGAATTAGATCCTGATCTCCGTCTTTTAACTCGAGGAGCTTTGAAAGCTGATTGACTGGATGCAGTTGATGCTACTTCCAAATTTAATCTTCTTTTTACAGCTTGCACTGACATTTGCTAAAATGAAAATAATTCACAGATAATTATACAAAGAACAAATATGTTAAAACTAAAAACTTTAAGAATTAATTTTTATTTTCTTAAAATTTTTTTTTTAATTTATTACTTCAGGTCGAGGTAAAGGCTGTGTAGGTCTTCTTGTGACTTGATAGCAAGGAGTCTGTCCATACTGATGGTCTTGTAAATGAGGACTAGGAGTTTCCTCTGCTATTTTTTGTGGTTGAAGTTCGTCCAAAGAATTGCCATCGATAAATTCTGATTTTACTGTTTACCAATCGTTAATTTAGTTACAATTGTAAACAATATGTATGAAATAATAGATATTAATAATAAACAGAGCTCACTCAATTTAGTTTGTGCCATGTCAGGTGTAACCGGCCTGGAAGGATCTTCCAGGATCACTTGTCTTCTTACACGTGGCATCTTGATAATTTAGAATCTGAAGACATACAATAACACATTTCAATTATTATTTTACTATTTACATAAAATCAATTGTAAATTGCTTGGATGAATTTTAATAATCATTATTTATAGTAACTACTTAAAGCTATAAATTATCATAAAACATTTTTCTGATTATCGAAATAGAAGATGGAGAGAATGAATTTGGCAGATGGACACATGGAATGTCGGCGCGACGATCGCATGGCGCCTCGATCTCGACTTAAGAACAGCCGGAAGTCGTCCCGACGATAATTATAAAAAAAACTAATTGTTAAATAAACAATATTCATTTAATAAAATTTGAGTAGAAAACAGGCTCCATCGTAACCTTCGTGTCAGCAAAAATTTTTTTTTTTAAAACACCAAGCGAGTTTATTGCAACTACCTAATCTAAACTTTTGTTTATCAATGTTTATTTATGTTAATTAACTTTTAGCATAATTATTTTTTAATATATAATTAGCAAATTAGATCTGATAGACTAAAAAAGACTTTAAAGTTTATAACAAGTACAGCTGTTTACTGATGAGCACGACACATGGAATTTAATGGTTGTACTCGATGATTGAATGATAGGACTGAAGAGCTTTGAGTTTTCGTTAGAATATTATTTACTTGGGATAAAAAAAAAAGAAGAAAAAAAAAATGTATTCAACATGGAAAAGTCAATGTGGGGTGTCCATGCTCGACAACGCCGGGACGCCACCATGCTGGGCGTGCACACTAACATGTCCTGTAGAAAAATTTTTTTTTTTTTTTTTTTTTTTTTCTTCATTATTTTAATGATTATTTTTTCTTTTGAGATTTTATAAAATTTATTACAAAGAAAAAAAAAAAGATAAAGTATCACTGAATTGCAAGCATTAAAGATTAAGTGTCATGTATCTTATCGTATTACTCGATCAGCTGTTTAATAATTTTAAGTGATATTGAGGATAGGCAATTAAATGCTGTTAATTTTTTAAATTAAAAATTTAATGTAAACTTTTAACGTTTCATGTCTAAATGATAAAGAACAAATCTAATTACTTGATAAGTATTGATTAATATTGATAAATTAATTATTTATTTATTTATTAAATGTTAGGTAGAAACAATTGAGAGCTCACGTGTTACTCAGACTTACTATTAAAAGTATAAAAAAAAAGTTTAAGTTAGAAAAAAAAGTAATAAATAAGTAAATAATAAAGTAAGAGTGTAAGTTGAAGGGTATAAAGTAACGTAAGTTTTCAATGCATATCCATAAATAATGATCAGCAAAGTACTCACATGAGCTGATGGCCATTTAAAGTAAATCAGCAAAGACCTGGCAAACGTGAATAATCCGCGGTATTCATCGACAACGACCACGACGACGATAAGGATGTTGAATAACTTGTAACTCAAAATCAGCAACATGCGTGTACATGTTCTAATGTATGTGGATTCCCGTGGGTTAAGTAGAGTTTAGAGTAACGACAAATGTGAATACTACTACAGAATACTACTCGTATTCCCATTGGTTACGTTCGAAAAGCAAGAGGGCCACTCGTTAACTATCGTCTCGGAGAGCGCCTCGTTCGCAATGAGAAACGAATGAACGCACGCGTTGGCCGTGCCTCTATCCTCAACCAAACACCACAAATTCTTGCTTCATTCTTTTTCTCTCTTTCTTCTTCTAACTCTCAATAATATATGCAAAAAAAAATTTCGCTAGATATTTTTTTTCTATTTTAGATGAAAAAAAAAAAAAAACTAAAATACCAGAACAAATGAAAGCTTGAATGTCCTCGACATTAACAAGGTGGGGTCTAAAAATTTAGCTTAGATTGGCAATAATAACAAATTTAAAACGGGAAATAAGTAACACAATAAAACTATCAGGTATTTTCTAACTTACCTGACTAAAGACGTGCAGTATTTTGAGACGTTTAGCCCACACTCTTCCGGGGGTATCGTCGTTGGTTGGCACGACAGCAGCGTGTTAAAGTCTCGTAATAAGAGCCATATCCATCAAACTGTTTCGGTCTTTGACTTAACATACCAATAATAAAATATTAAAATTAAAATTAAAGATCAAATATGCTCGATGCATAAAAATTATAAATATTTTTAATGTAATTGTTATGTGATATAATAACGTTTGATTAAATTAAACTTGAACATAAAGGTGTATTAACACAAGACCATCACTTATACTACTGCTTGAATTAATAATGAAAGTAAAAAAATAATCTCACCCTCTTTCTCTTTATAGTTATTAAAATAAGTTCTCTACTGCGCTACGGTGTCCATTTTCTGTGTCGACGGAAACACACAAGAGCACTCTTATTCTCGTTTTCTCGTACAAGCGCCGTCCGTAGGTACGATTTATACGATAACAAGCCGAGACCGGCACTGTTATATCATTAAAATAACCTTTTATAGCAGGTCATTGTGCTAACCGCAAATTTGTCTCCATATTAAAATCTTTTAACAAATAAATAAATTAATAATTAATTAAATAATAACTCTAATGCTACGTTGAATAAAAAATTTTACTTTTAGGTGTGAGACCGGCTCCTGCAATTGATTTGTTTTATAATAGTAACAATTTTTTTATTATTACAATAATTATAAAAAAATATGAAAACAGGGTAACACTACTTTAAGATTTCCACTTATGTTTTAGGATATACACGGGGTGTAAAGAATACAGAAGCCAGTTTTACAATACAACTAGATACCTCTTTAAAAGTATACTAGTCTTTAAATGTATAGGTATACATTTATACGTTGTGACAGTCGTTATATTTGTGAATGATGTACGTGTACCGGGTATTGCCATCTGTTGGGCTCTGTAAAACTAAAAAACGCGCGCCAAAATGTCAGCTTATATTTCCCGCAATGTAAGATACCAACGTAATAAGTTACTTACACCATCACATATTTAATATTAAGTTTTATAAATAACCGATTTTTAATTGTTATTTGTTTTAAATATTTACTGGTGATCAAACAACTATAATGTCCGTCACTCACTCTTATTTAATACTGCAATAAATGGATTATTTATAAATTATTAAACTTATTATTCTATCTGACGCCATTCTGCGTTTTATAATAGGTCGCGTCACGAAGCCACTGGTAGGTACTATTAACCTTCAATACACGACTGTTATTTGTTTAAAATATTATTAACAGGTTGATGATTTAATGGTTTTAATTGTTGACTTTTAGAGTAATTATTTGTAAGTGATTTTGAAACGGGTGAATGACGCAGACTTACAACCGTCGTTGCCTATTCCCGTTTACTTGGTGTTGGTGAGAAGACCACTGTTGAAACTGCGAGCAAACGATTATCGTTTGTTCCTTCGGGAGGGGGAGAGATGTTCAACACTCAGGAGCGTATTTATTCAACCATTTTTTTGTAAATTATAATTTACATTAATTATTTTTGTTATTAATTTTATTACATTTCTAAGTGATCTACTTAACAAATAAATTCGATAAAAATTGATAAAATTTCAGTAAAAAAATTTTTATTCAAAATTTTCTCACATATATTATTTTGGATGTTATCAAATGATTTTTTTATAATTATTATTTATGTAAAAAAATTAACAAGTTTTATAATAAACTCAAAGAAGAAAATTATATTTCAATAGAGTTTTAGGATCGGCAATCAGGTAAATACTTTGATAAATTACAAAAGTTCTAAGGAATTGATGACGTTGTTGTTTATATTGATAATAAAAAAAAAAAGTACATAATAAATTTAGGAAATAATTGGGGATTATATATAAGGGCTCTGTCATATATGTCGACGAGGTTGATTTGGGTCTGGTAAGACAGAGTGGGAAAAGGGGCCCGGTGTTCTTTTCGTAACGTATTTATTCGAACCCCACACAACTACAAAAGAGATCTTGGAACCAACAGCTCTGAGAAATAAGGCGTCGTATTATTTTCCCTCCATTCGCCATGAAATTCTTTTCTTTCCCCTCGGACATTTAAAGTATACCCCTCCTTACAAAACTCGAGCCTTGGTAGTCAGGTTAAAAAATACAAAAAGGATGAGCTGTAAAAAAACTATGCCTGATGCCGTATACCGCATATCATTTAGAAGTTACAATAATTAAATTTGAGCAATGTAGACTTCTGATGTCGACCAATGTAATTGTGATATTGTTTGTATTATTTTATCATTATTATTTTTATATAACTAAATATCAATAATTACAAAGACCTCAGGTCGCTCTGTTTTTGGAGGAGTATAAATCTGCATTGCTGAATATGTTATTGCCTTAACTTCAGTACCCTGGGGATGTTTTCCCAGTTGAAACGCTTCACCATATGCCTTTGCAGTTATTTTAAAATTTTCTTGGTCGAATTCCAATATTTTAATTTTCTGCGAAAATAAATTTAATTAATCAAAAGTATTTTTTATATCTACAGAAATAGTTGCAAATATTTACCTTGGCGACAAGAAAAGGCTCTACGGAAAACATGAATAATAATTCATCTAGGAAATGATACAACAAACCCAGTAAATCGCCACCTTCTGCTGCAATGTCATATGATTGATCTATCTGAACTGTTTCAAGTTCTGTCATGTAGCCAAACATAGCCATCCCACATTGCTCGAATGCCTCCTGCAGCGTTTCACCCCATGCGTGAAGTCTGAAAAATTTTAATGGTAATGTTAACAAATAATTATATATTTATAAAAGTTTAATTTGATCAATAATATTTCTTATTAGTTTTAGTCTGACAATTAGCGCATAACCTACAAAATGATAATTGTTGATAAAAAAAAAAAAAAATGCTAGAAACAATAGATAGTAGAGACTTACTGGACATCAGCCGTATGATCCAAATCTGCAATAGAATAAATGAAACATTATTAATTGTTTTTTATACATGAAATTGGTAAGTAATAAATTTCCCGCCAATTTTTCCACGTGTTGATTTAAACACCAACCATGATTAATTGTATGAATAAGAAATCAATAATAATGATTAGTAAAAATTACAACTAATTAACAATTTATGTTTCAGATAACTTACATTCATATTTACATGGAGGTATACTTAAATCTTCATTTGTCAAGTCTCTCATAATGATTATTATCAGCTGATTACTATACAGTAAAACAAGTCGATCAGCTGATTCACTGACAAATTCACTGTGTGTATATATTTACACATAATTTAGTTTGATTCTGTAGAAAACTCGGCAAAGATGTCAGCAGTAGTCGAGAGCGCAAACAGTCGGTAGTGTAGTTTACAAGCCCGGGAATAATTTTAAACATACAGTCATTTTTATTATTGAAATCTTTTTTCACTGGGTTTTTTAATGATAATTGTTACTACAGAAAATGAATAACTAAATAGTTCGATTAAATGTCATCCACTGAATTAATTGAGACGCCTGCACTACTGCAATTGCAATTCAATGAGTAAGTAATGATGAAATCATTTGATTAGTATAGAATATAGATGTTGATGAGAGTAGGATGCAGAAATAATATATTTTATTTTAATGAATTGAATGAAATAAAATATTGTTCAGGGACTAGGTAGACAAATTTTTTGCTTAATTTCGACAAAGGTCGAACGTTTTATGTCAAACAAATTGCTTAAATATTTATGGTAGTATTAGTTTTGTATCGTTATTATTTTCAGTTTAGACAACACACTGACATTCATAAACTTGTTTTTTCTCCTGTACAGGACTCCAAGGGCACCCACTTGGAAGCAGTGTGCTCGTTACATAAAACCAAGAAGAAGTGTGATTATACTTGATAAAAATGATGCTGATGTTGATCTTCAATATAATACAAGGGTGCGACAATTTTTTTTAAACTTTTAATTCTTTACATTTACGTAATATTAATTATCATATTCAAGACATTCTATTTATTTATCATTTTTATTTATATGATTATACAGAAAGATTTATATTTATATTAAAAATTCTAGGTAGTTGATGTTTTTTATTATTTTTAGTTTATAAAAAAATTAGTAAATAAGAAGTTTCCGTATACGTTTACAGCAAAATTTGTTTAAATTAAAATATTAATTAATTTAGTTAATCAACTTTTTTTGTTCATCAATTAACTTGTCTTTATCACGTTTATTACAATATGAAAATTCTAATAGCTATTAATGATATTTTTTCTTTTTTATAAAAATAATTTATACATTTTTAATTCAATTAAAAGATAAATTAATTACAGCTTTTAATAACCAATAAATAACCAAGAAAACTGTATATTTTTCCGTAAACATCATTTATGAAAAACAAACAAGTAAATAATTAACATTATTTGTTTATTTTTAATTCATAGTTATTTTCAAAAACCCAGACTTCAATGACTTAAAGTAATTGCCGTAAAATGTACAACCGAGTAATTGTTAAGCTGTTATATCAGTCAATAAAATTTCCTTATTACGTTTTATCAGCAGTTAGAGAAAAAGCAAAGTCGCATAATTACTAAAATAATAAAAAAAAACCTGGAAAAATTTTTAATAGTAAGAAATTTATTAAAATTATACATGTTTATATTTCATCAGTACTTTGCTTAAAACTTACAAAGTATTAAAACGTGTAATCTTGAAAAAAGAAAAAAAAAAGAAGATTTTGAAGGGTATTCTCGATGAGTTTAATATCTAGCAATTAAATCCAACTGATTGTTATGATGACGCAGATCAATAAATGATGTGTTGAGTCTGAGAGTGATGTTTTAAAGATAGTCTTGTAGGACAATAACTATTTAGACCACCTTGGATTTTTTCTCACCTCTCGCTGTTCCACGATCCGTATTTGACTTCTTAGACTCCCCCCTAAGATCAGCCTCTTGCGCGTATTCCTAACTAATGACATGCAATTTTGCAACGCAGCGTTGTTAAGTCCTTGACTTGAAAAACTATATAAAGTGAAACCGTCAACTCGCAGGACTTGATATTCATTCATTTTTATCAAAGCCAAGATGCAGACGCTTACATTAGTTCTTTCCTTTGTACTATGTATTTCTTCAATCACTGCTCAGCCAGCTGATTTATGTAAGTTCTTTCAATTAATAAATTTATTTATTATTATTTCTTTTAGTTGCGAAACACTATTTTTAAGTACTTCCTGGATTAGTTAATTAATAATTTAACAAATTAATTACAGCTTCTATGAAAACATGCAAAAGAGGTACAGATGATTATGCATCATGTATGAGATTAGCTTTTCAAGAGAATTGGCCAACTCTCGTAAAAGGTAATGTTTCTTTTACTATTTTTTTTTTTATTCGAATTAAAATTTCCGTAAACAGTAAATAATGAATAATAATTAGTAATTACCAGTTAAATTTATTCATTACAGGAATGCCAGAGATAGATTTACCACCTCTAGATCCTTATGAGCTTGATGTCATGGCCACTGATTACCAATTCGGTGAAGTAACTGGCAAAATAGTTGTACGTAATGTTAAAACTTATGGTATGTCTAAAACTCGTTTCTTATCTATAAGACCATCCTATGAAGAAAATCGTTATCGTCTTGATATCGATATGGAAATCCCAAAAATGTTTGTCGAAGGAGACTTTAAATCTGACGGTACTGTTGGATCTTTTAACGTGATCGGAAAAGGTAAAAACAATTTTAATATATACAATTGAATTGGTTTTTATTTCATTTTTTTTGTGTCAGGTCAATTTAATATTAGTATGGAAGATATCTCAGGAACTATGACTCTAGAAGGAGAAGTCATTAATGACAGATGGGTATTAGACAGATATAATTTTATGCCCGAAGTTGGAAATATGAAGGTCTGGGCTTCTGATTTATTCAATGGCAACAAAGAACTCAGTAAGTAGCTTTAGATATTTTGTTTTGAACAGTGAAAAACTAAAAATTTGAAACCTTTTCTTACCTGTATTTTTTTTATTATAGCTGAAGCAGCACTTAAATTCGCAAATGAATACTGGCAAATTCTTTACCGCGGAATGTTACCTCACGCTGCTAAAACTTGGAACGCGTATATGAAAAATCTGTGCAACCGTATTCTATCCCACATTTCTTTCTCAAAAATATTTCCTTGAATAGATCTTTTTTTTTTTTCTTCATCAAGTCAACGTAATTTTAATAAAAAACCAATGGTAATTTTTTTAATATTTCATAATTTCACAGTTGTAATTTTTTTAATACATTATATTTAGTGGTTAATTTCGTTGCGTTTAAGGAGAGATGAAAAAAAAAAAAAAAAAAACAAAATAATGTCAAGGATTCATTTTAAGAGCAACGAAAAATTGTTACAACAAAAATATTGTTCTAAGATTTAGAAAGTAAAGAGTCTATTATTAAGTTTTAGTTTTTATGACGATTCAATATTGTGAGTGGAAAGTTCCATTCGCTCACTTTGCTAATCATTTGTTTTATTGTTTTATTGTTGTTGCTAAAATGACTCTTCATGTAAATATTCAAAAAAATAAACATTTATTAATTACGTTACTCTATTTGTTTTTTTATAAAATAAAAATGTGGAAAAAAAAACGCATTGAAATTATTATTGTTACAATTCAATTATAATTTATTGAAAAAAATATTTAATACTTTTTTTTATATACACGGTATAAAGTCTATCTTAAACATAATAATGATTACAACGACATCAACAACAATAACAAACAACAAGTAATTACTATCGATAAAGAGTTCATTAAAGCATTAAATTATGATACAAGAAAAGTTTCAATCGGTACATGTCGCAGTAATTGATTAACAATTCCAGAGAATAAAACCGACAATTTTCTTTTTAGCTGCGGCTCCATTGCCTTCAGTACTTCCTGTCCGTTATCACGCAGAAATATATTTGTAGCCTCGCCTAAGTATTATAAGAAATTATTATCAATGATAAAAATAAATTATTAGTGTTTTATCGTAGAATTTATGTAATTGCTTACTAATTATGCGACTGCGGCTAGTATTTTTTTGAACTCGCATAAAAACGTTTTTCACGACGAGTTGAACATCTAGAGAATCGACGTGCAGATAATTCTTTTCATTTTGTACAGATGTCGTCACAATTCCTTTTACAAAGGCTTTTACTTGATCAAATTTTGCAGAAAAAGTTCCATTGCTGCTAGCCGGAAGGATAAACAAGACGCCTGTGCTAAAAATTCAATTATATTACAAGTTTATTTGGTATACTTCATTTGCATGACAAATATTTCTATAAAAACTTAAGTTTTATGCTTTTATTACAAACTATAATAAAAATTTTATGAGACATAAAAGATAAATATTTAAAATCATTTAGATCGAAGAATCAGATAATGACATTTGTAAATCTAGGAAGACTACTCGTAAAAAAAAAATTTTTTTATTAACATCACCTTCTCAAAAGAACATTTTGAATAAATTATCTGAGCAAAGAAGAATTATTTTTGCGATAAAAATAGTTTTTTTAAAATAATCGAATTTACAAAAATTTAGTAAAAAATAATTAAAGCAAATCAATATTAACATTTTAATCAATCTTATTTAATCTCTGAAGTAAGATTTTAAATTAAGATTACATGCATGCTTTCTATTTTGATTTCTGAAGATTTAGTGTGATTAATTTTTTTATAAGGATACTTAAATAATCATTGACTTTCACGTTATTGCGAAATGTTAATTTTTGGCGGAAGGCGGAACGAATTCGCATCTCAAGTGTCATTTAAAAATAATATATTCTGTTATTACCTGGAATATTGAGCCGCTAATGTCAAAACAGGCATTTTTATAATCGCGTAAAAAGAAGAGCCAAGTTTAATGTCTTCAACCGTAAAGTTGCTAGCTCCCCTAACATACAATTCCGCTAAACGGACCCTATATCCGTTTGTACCACCTGTCAGCGAGAGGGTAAGTTCATCCATCTGTTTAAAAAATTACATAATACATCAACATCACAGCATATAACACATGTTTTATTATTCATTATTCAATTTTTATCGCTTTATTAACTCAATAAATATCTGTCATAGTTATAAATTCAAAAAATCATTCACTCACCAGAAAGGGTTCTACTGAAGGTAACTCTATTTCAGGGATACCGTTCTTGAGGTATGGCCGAAGATGGTGTAAAGCCTCTATCAGACATTTTTTCAATTCAGGATCACTTTTATAACATTGTTTAACATAAGCTGAAATAATTTAGAATTATCCATTTATTAGTACAATAGAAAACATTTTTAATATTAATATTTTGGCTTTTACTCACGAGGAACTTCCGATAGTACGAATACAAAAATATTCAGTAACCCAATCAAAATAAGATACATTTTATTAAATTCTTTTTTTTTTTTCTTAATAAATATTTTAAATATTAAAGTTTATTCCAACGTAACTATTTAACAAAAATGTGTCTAGCAACAAACGTTAGTTAAAACTGAAGTCGTATGAGAAATTGCAGATGTAAAAATTACTTCAAGAGGATACTTTCACTTTTAATCTAAGTAAAACAGTCAATTATATTGCTATTATTATTAACATAATACATAATAAAAAAAAATGTTAAAATATACTTACCTTCTAATCATTTTTATTTTCTTAATACCTTTCTATCTGCTTCTCTCTATCTCGTTGATGTAATGGCAATATATTTATATATTACGCATTATGCGAGTTTATCACAAATTGCGTGTCGATTACATCGTTATTATTTCATTGATACATAATTCTAATGCGGCAAAATTATTTAATCCGTAATTTATTTTTAAAAGTAAACTTATTTCCATAGTACTTAAAAACTAAAAAATTCATGACTACACAGTAAAAAATTTTGCGTCAAAAAACTTAGTGTTAAAAATTTTTGTGTTAAATATTTAACACTTTTATGTGTAAATTTAAATAAATAGTACTTAAAAACTAAAAAATTCATGACTACACAGTAAAAAATTTTGCGTCAAAAAACTTAGTGTTAAAAATTTTTGTGTTAAATATTTAACACTTTTATGTGTAAATTTAAATAATACTGAAGTTAGAAGACGATGATACTAAAGTTAGCCGACGTTTTTAATTATTTGATTTTTTTTTATTTAATAATTAAATTAAAACAGAAAAATATTTTTAAAAAATTTCACTTACAGTTTTTGAAGTTTTTTACAAGTGATATTTTTTTTCAAATTTTTTTGTAATAAATTTTTTAATAAAAAAAAATTCTAAAAATTTTCAAATGTCGGCTAACTTAATTTTCATTAGCAGACGTCTAAAAATTTTTGATTTTTTTTTTTTTTAATTAAATTACAACTAAAAAGATATTTATAAAAAATTGCACTTATAGTTTTTTAAGTTTTTAACATATGATATTTTTTTTTTCATTGTTTAATTTAAATTTTTTCGATAAAAAATTGATTAAAAATTTTGAATTGTCAGCTAACTTCATTTTCATCACTTATTTTGTTAAATCAACACAAAAAATTGTTAAATATTTAACATAAAAATTTTTAACACCAAATTTTTCGACGCAAAATTTTTTACTGTGTATGACGACAAATTGTTTGACGGAAAAATAACTAATTGACTATTGACTCATATTTAGCAAGAAAAAAATCAACAATAATGGCATTAATGCTAATGACTGTGAGATGAGTCTAACGTCCAGATGGTTGTTAAAGATCCGGGTAAGATTTGGTATCAGATTCCAGAGGCTAGCGGATTCAGAGGTTGGTATCAAAGGTTTAATATTCGTTGTATTTTTATTTATTATTATAATGGCAATAATATTTTATTGAAAAGGAGGGGGATTCTGATAATTATGTAAGTAATGTGGACTCAAAAATTCAAAGGATAAAGAACGTATCAGAGCTGGTTTCAGATGCATTACTGAGAGTGAAAGCGTAAGCATCAGAACTCGAATGTATTTGTTGTGTCTACCAAAGCTACTGAATCACACGTATATTTATATTTCACTGTGTTGACCGCAAGGCCAAGAAAGTGTAACACGTTACTTTAATACCTTTAAGAAATCTACTGGACCAAAATAATAACGACATGTTTAAGTTGATTGGATTTAGTATATTTTTCACAATTAGTTTATCTTGTGCCGCTGAATTTGGTGAGTAATTATCTAAATTCACTTAATTATTGGTTGTCAAGATTCACTTTTATATTATTTTATTGAAATTTAATCATAGTACGCAAATTATAATATAACTTATAATAAAACTAGTCATAATTATTATGATAGAAAATTGACTTGTGAAATATTTTTTATTGTAATTGACAATTGCTATTACTTGTTATCTATAATCAAAATTACGTTTATTTTTCCAAGTACCAAGTAATATAAAAAAAGAATTGTATGTACGATAATTTAATTTGATTGGTGAAAGTGAGATAAAATAAATTATTTGCGCCAACATAATTTTTATGAAATCTTAAATTATCCATCAATAGATTTTATTAATATTATTTTACTCTTATAATATATATTGTTTTTAACAAAATTAGTGTAATTTTATGGATTATTTGCTCGTGTTTTGCAGAAGATGCATTTAAGAATTGCTACTCAGACGTCAGTGGATTTGACTCTTGTGTTAGAGAAGGACTTAATTCTATAAGACCATATTTCAAAACAGGCTTGTCAAAATATAATGTCAAGCCGTTTGATCCGTTTTTTGCTGAAGAAGTAACGGTGACGAGAGGTTTGCCTAGAATTGGATTTGTTTTGACATTGAGAAATGTTACGGAAAGTGGATGGACAGCAAGCAAAGTTACCAAGTTTGTCAGCGACTTATCTAATTATAAAGTAACAATTTGCTTTCAATAGAAAAATTTCTTCATCAAATATCAATTTAAATGTGATTGTAATTTTTTTTTATTTTTTAGGTAGTTTATACTCAAAGTTTTCCAGCAAAATTTCTTAATGGACATTATGAGTTCACTGGAAATTTATTGGGACCTCAAATAAAAAATAAAGGAAAGTTTACGCTTGATTTATGTGAGTATTACCTCTAAATTTATTTTTTTAATTAAAAATAAAAAAAAAAAAAAAAAAAAATAAAATAAAAAAAACAACTTTTACAAAATAAAAACTGTTTCATGAAACTCTAGCAATTTATAAATTTTTGATCAAATAATTAGATTTTATAATATTCATAGTTTAATTATTTTTATAAAAAAGTGAAAATTATTAATTTGAATTAAAAAATTTTAAAGTTATAAAAAAAAAGTGAAGGAAAATTTATTTAGTTAAAAATAAATGATGAAAGAATATTATTAACTTACTGCTTTCTCAATTTTCTGCTATTGCTTGATTTGCTCTTTAAGATTAATTTACAATTCAAAAAAGTTGGCTTTAAAAAAGTTTCACTATTATATGCTGTACCAATTAATTTATTCATCGTCATCATTACGTCAAAATAATCAGATGTATGTTAAATTGTAAGTTTAGGATCAACAGGTAGCATATTGCTAAATATGAATTAAATATATATTTAGTAGGATAATTAGGAACTTGGACTCGTAAATTAATTAAAAATTTTTAAATACGTTTTATTGTTTTATTTTTCAATTTCATTAATAAATTTTCACTTTTTAAAAAATTATGGAAATTTTTATTCTTTTAAGATATTTTTTGTAAAAAATTAATTATAAAAATTACTTTTTTTTTAATTTCTTAAATAATTTAGTCAAAATTTTCAAATTTAAAAAATAATTACTGAGTTTTCAACAAATAATTATTTGTTGATGAATTATTAATGATAAGATACATTATCAACTTTTAATTTAAACATTTACAAACGTATAATTAAGCAAAATTAATTAATTGAAATAATAAAATTCAAAGACAAATATTTTTTAATTAAAAATTTTACTATCCTGCTCAATTAATGTAATATCTTGTAATCTATGGAAGGATAGTCTGAGTTCTTAACTAGAATTTTGTGATAATTTTGCCATAACCATTAGCATATTTCAACTTAAAAGTTTTGTTTAACTGGAATTCATTATCGATTAAATTTTTTGTAATGGTGAGACTGCAAAAAGCCATCTATTTATATCAATGACTAGGATTGCCTCAAAACTTGTTCAAGAATCTGTTAAAGTATTTAAATCTAAGATATCGTGTTTCTGATCTTTGTACTCTATAACAAAAAAAAATGTAAAAATAAACACTAGTCTGAAAGTGCAACTTCTATGAATAATACAGAGTTCGGCGAACTTTGCAGAAAGTGAATTGAATTTTGTGTTTTAATTTTATAGAATTTTTTTTTTTTTCAGATGATTTGATTCAAACAACAACTATCACAAAAAAACCAGGAGAAAAATTAAAAGTCCGTGTTGAAGTTGAGACAATAAGAGATTTAAAATTGCACATTTCAAATCTTCTGCGAGGACGTCAGGTATTAGAAAATTTTATGGATACTGTTATCAACGGGGCTTGGCAACCTGGTTTCATTGTCACCAGAGGTGTTATCAATGACCTGGTATCTGCTGCATTTACTGAAATATTTGGTGAAGCTTTCCAAAAGTTTCCATTTGAGAAAATAATCAAGAAAAAATCAGCACAATAATAACTTTAAGCTTAAAAAAATCTAAACGCCATTTGTGATACATTACGATTAAATTGATTAATCAAACTAACAGTTTAGAGATAAATAATTTTTTACAATTATTTCTTCACAACTTCAAATCAGAATAATTAAAAAATTCTTGCAAGCAAGTACAAATAATGTAACCTAGATAGTTGTAATTAAAAATTTGTATTGCAAACTAATTAGCTGTGTACATACATATTAATGTTCGCGTTTTTCCGTAAAAAAAAAAAAATATCTTCTACATACTTGGAAAATTTTGAAAAGAATTTATACACTGTGAATAATTCACAAAAATAATGTGAAACTGATAATTTTTTTTAGAATAAGTATAGAAATTATTTTGACGAAGAAGTAATCATCATTATTTTTACGATGTATAGTAGTTTACCTTGGAATACCGATACTCAAAGGTCTTTGACCCCTTTATGACTAGATTACATTTTAAAGTTTAATTATTGAAAAATCTGATTACTATATACAGCCAATCAAAATCTGCATTTTTTAATTTAATTTTTATTTCATCAGAATTTAAATTGTTAATTTGTTATATTAATAATTTAAACATAACTGTGTACAGATTATCTACTTATTGTATAATAAAACCTCCTTTCTTGTAATAAACAATTGATTTAAAAAGTTTTTATGGAAATTTAAATTTATTTTTATTTGATATATTAATTAAATTAGATATCAAGTAAAAAAAAAAATAACATATAAAGTAACCTTTCAGTTTCATCTGTATGATTTCGGTTTTTTCCGCTAATTTTCCTTTGTAACTATGGTGGCAACAAAGTGGAATAAAAACTTTATTACGGAATTTATTGTTCAAGTAAAAAAAAAATTCACAATATAATTAGTAAGTACTTTGACTCTTCTCTAAAGAGTATTATAATTGCAGACACTCTATGCCTCCAGGTTTAGAATACCAAGTGCCCTAGAGAATAACTCATGACAGCCAACCGGTTTATGCTGGACTAATCAATTGCCAACCTCACTTGAAAGGGAGAGCTAATAAATTCCTCTTCGGTTCAAGTAAGAGGTATGTATCATACTAAATGATTAGAATCACTATTGCAAATTTAAAACTTATAAATAGAAAATAAAACTAGTCATCTTGTGAGAAGAAAAAAAATACGTTTTAGCCATCTAGCGACACAAATATGTACTATAAAGAAATGTCAAGAGCAGAGCCTACGGTTATACTGTGAAAATTACTCTTGATTAGTAAGTTGAAAACGAAATAAATTTTGTTTTGGGATTCTTCGCCCCTAACGGGAAATTTTAAAGGAAAAATGTCTATGCTTGAAGTTTAAAAGCGTTTTTTAACGGTGAAAATCATAGTATAGATTATTGAAGCGTAAGACAACATGTATTTTAATTTAAACTTGATTTATTTTTTAAGGATAAATGTTTTGAACTAATAGATGAATAAATAATTGAAAATAGAAATTTTAGAAAAATATTTTGAAAGGAAATACTTTTTTATAATATTCGTATTCAATATAAAAAAATTTCATTAAAAAATTGTTATTAAAAACATTGAATTGGCGATGTATAGATAAAACTTTTACTCTTATTATCAAAGAATGAAGAAAGTATTCAAATAAACAGGACAGCTCTTCGGTTATTGAACTTTGCGAAAGTTTAAATAAATAGCCGAGAGAGGAGGAAAATTGTACGGAGAGAAAACAAAATAAATAAAATACTAGCGATGTTTCTTTCTGTTTCAATTACTGTACTTGCTTATTATATGGTCGGAAGAAGAAAGTTAAGAGGAATTGACGATTGTAAACCCCACTCTTTCTCCTTTATGGTATAGAACTTGATACCATAGCGGGGGGCAATGTCAAGGTGCTATAAGTCCAATCGCTTCAACCACTAGCTGGTCATTTGAGACGAACAAGTTTATCTCTTCAACCTCACCGGTACTGATTTATGGAAAGATATTTCGATATTTTTATATTTTTACTACAAAATTAAATCATGAAAATTATTATAAATCTTCTATGTGCCGCTATATCGGTTTTTTTTATGTGCGGGGTTAAAGTTGACGGAAAATACCGCGGACTTGAATTTTTGGAACCATGCTCCAGAAATGACCCTAACTTGGAGTCATGTCTTGCGAGATCTGCTAATGCATTGAGTGAACACTTCCAGCACGGTAAGAATTTTTTTGTTTTATTTATGAAATATTAAACAATAATTTTATTTCATTTTTTGTATATTATTGCGTTAAAATGTTAGTACGTAGTAAATCTGCTTATTATATTAAAAACAAGCAATTGACAAACTTAAAGTTGAAAGATAAAAATTTTAATCGTTAATAATTATTTAAAATAAATAAATTATTACTAACGTTTTATTGTAAAATACATTTTGAAATGCATAATACTAAATAGTTAAAAACAGAAAATATGTCAACTTTTCTTCTTTATAACAATAATTTTAATAAAATCTAATAATTTTATAAAAAAAGACAATTATGTTGATGTATGGTAATATGAACAACCAGGTTATAACGGTTAAACGTCAACCCAGTGTTCCACATTCCGTTTATGACAGCTTCAAAGCAGTGTTATAAGTAAGATGAGCAACAAAAACTCTAAGAAATAAATATCTGGTCACCTATTTATCAACAGACTTTAGCGAAGCTCTGTTTTAAATGACTGATGTCGTAGAAACAGTTAATGATCTATTTAATGTTTCCAGGCCTACCGCAGTTAGGCTACCCAGAAGTCGAGCCTATTGTGTTAGATGAAGTTCACATATCCTTAGGTGGAGGACCGGACGGATACAAAGCGCAATTTCGCGATGTTGCTGCAAAAGGTGTTTCGGCGCTGAGAATAACTGGGTTAAGAACGCGAATAACTGATGATGAAGTTCAATTACAATTGGCTTTGCATATACCGAAAATTAGAGCCGCTGCCAAGTACCGGTCAAGTGGGAAGCTTATCCTTGTTCAAGCTAGTGGTGCCGGTGATTATTGGGGCGAATATGGTATGTTTTAATTTTATTTTCATTAATTTTACAATTTTTTTGTGAATATTGTTTATATTAAGAATAATATTTTTTGTTAATTTTTCGGTATTTATAATGAAAATTTTTAATAACATTAAAGTTAGCACTCACTAGAGAATTTTTTAATTTTTTTTTAACAAAAAAATTATTTTTAAAAAATTGCATTTTTTATTTTTTAAAATTTCTAAATGTCAATTTTTTTTATATTTTTTTTTGCCATAATTTATTTGTTAAAAAAAATTCTAAAAATTATTAAATATCTGCTAAATTTATCATCATAAATTTTTAAAATTTGTAATTAATTTCTTATTTCTTTTTAAATGTCTCATTAGAAAAATTACGGTGAAAAAAAAAACGCAATTAGAAAGAAACTCACCTACGCTATTTACGTTCTAAATTAAACTTGACTTTATAGAGTAACAATGTTAAACATAAAATACTTTGAGATTAATTGTTTGTTGTTTAGTTAAAAAAAAATTTTTTTTTAATTATTATTGAGTATAATATATACGAAAGAAAAAAAAATGAAGGATACCTGGTCAATGATGAAAAATTACGAAATAAAATTTTCTATTGAGTAATCTTTGGCCCTAAAAACATGTTTACGCTCGAAATGATAAATGTATTTTTGATGTTAGAAAATCTCTGAGTAGATAATTATTACTCGATAAACAGGTTCTTCCTTAAAATCGTTTCAAATTTCAGCTATGGCAGTACAAGAAGTTTTAAATATACATTCGTTTAAGTTTATTTAGAATAAATACAAAATATTTCATTCAAAATAATATATTGAGTATAATATTGAGATTGATCTATTCATTATAAGAATATATATAAATCAGTATAAATTATTCATTGAACCGGATCTAGTTAAAAATTATAACATAAAAAATAATAAAGAAGTAGTAATAAGTTTTTATATTTGAAAATATTTATAAGATTTTTTTTATAATTATATATAAATGGGTGTTCCCCTATTATTATTAATTATAAAAATTAAAATAATTTATAATCATCATTAAAATTTTCTTACAGATCGACGGTCTAATTAGCAATTTGTCTAACTCCTTATTTTTTAGAGGGTGATTTTTTAACATTGTGATGTAACAATAATCTAATTATAAATTATTTGAATGATTCAAACCTAAATATTATATCTCTATTAGAAATTAATGATATTAAATGGTTTTTTAAAATGATAATAAATTTTGAACTAATTCTTTTTTTCGTACAAATAGAAGATTCTCTAAAATGGAGTTAGACAATTTGCTAATTAGAACGTCGACATTAATTTTAATTATTGATTTTGTTACGAACTTTTTTGAGTGACATAGAAACCAATTGTTTAAATGAAGTTATAAGTATAATGTTTCATTTTTGTAGACTTGTAAAAAAATTTGCAGACTGTATCCCAATAAAAAATAAAATTTGTAAAATTTTTTGTGAGCCTAAAAAATCAAAAAAATAACTATAATTATTAATTATATATTTAAATATTGTAATAATTTATTAATTATTTTCAGATGGAGTTAAAGCCAAAGTATTTATAAGAGCAAAACCATTTTTAGTAGAAGGACATAAATATTTGAGATTGCAACAATTAAAAATGGATTTTAGTGTTGAAAACATAAAAATGGGAGTTGAAAATGTTCATGATGGCAACACAATATTACGTAAGTACAATTCATTTACAATTAAAACGAACAAATATAAATTTTGAATATAGATCATTAATATTTATTTTCATTTATATAGAAGCTGCATTAAATCTATTTATAAATAGCAACAGCCAAGAATTGCTAAAAGAGATGAAACCTGATCTAAGACGGAAATTAGTTCAAGTAATGACATCTTTTGTAGAAAAATTATTTGCTCAAGTACCTTACGATGCTTGGATTATTGATTAAATTTAATTAATTTTATGTTTAATTTTAAGCAAATCGTCAAAAATTGTAGGTTTAATTAATTATTATTATTATTATAGTATCATTAGCCATTACCAATGAAAGTTTTATTACCGTTTTGTTAATAGTCTGATGTTATTATTTTATGAATAGTAAGTAATTTATCTTAATCATATTAGTTTAAGATAACAAATAGTTAGTCTTAAACTTTATACGTTTATAATAATATTTAAATGAATAATTATAAGGATATAGGTCACTTATTACTTTATATCGTTATTAACATATGTATTTTTATTATAGTATTAGAAAATTACAATATATTTATATATGTCAACGAAAAAATATACATTTAGGTCCTAAATTGTAAGATTTTCATATAAAATAATACACAAATTTTTTTCACATCTTATATAAAGAATATTCTTCTTAAAAAATTCAATAGTTAATACAACTAATTTTTAATAATTGATTGTAAGTAACAGACAGTTCCATTATTGAAAATCATTTATTTCTATTCTAATACAAAACAGAATGATCCTCACCTACTTCATCCAAGTTGGTAACTCATGAATCAGCCATTCAAACGTTTTTTTTATGTATTATGTTTCAAGTGAATTATTTAACCCCAACAAATTGTTTCATTAATCAACTTACAAACATTAACAAAGATTATTTACACCGACGATGACAAAGTAAAACTAATAACATAAAATTAAATTTTATTATATGTTGGAATAAATTGACGCCCAGAAAGTTGATTCTCGGATCCGGAATTCATTGAAATGACCATTGGATGTTATGTAAAATGTAATGTGTATAAGTAAAGGATTATATCATAAAAGTAGCTTCCGTAAGTAATGTTTTACAATACGGTATCTTTCATTGATTTGATGTCTCAACCGCATTCATTGATATCCCATGTTACTATTTTTTGAATCCTCTCTTCATTACAATATTATATTAATAGATCGAAGATTAGCTTCTTTTGATTCAATACCGTTGCTTTTATCTAAAAGGTCGAAGATATAGACTTATTTTTTGAAATGCCATGCTACGTTTTTATAATTACGTAAATTCTCTATAATTAAAAGCATACATTGTTCACGTGAAACGGTTACAAAGTTAGTTATTAGTACCTACACATTTTTTTCTCTTTTTTCCATGACTTTTCATTTTTTGTTTTTAAGATTTTGAATAGCTAACATATTATGGAAAATTAAATTACTTTGATGATACACAATTAATTTATTTGTAACAAATATTTCGTTGTTGTGAATAATGATAATAATTGACAAGTAGTTCAATATAAATAATTTAGTGAATTTTTTTAAGTATAAAAATTAAACGTTTTCTAAAATTTTGTTGTTATTACAGTCATGTATCAAAAAAGAGTGTTCAAGCGTTAAAAGTATTGATCAAATTTTTAAATTCATTGTTATGAAAATACTCAAAGATCATCAATGCAATTTCATACGGTAAAGGTCTATGCTTCTTAAGATGTAAAATTTTCTGACATTTTTTCAAAAGTCTCAATCTTTCTACGGTATTTTTTACCATTCTGTATTTCAGTTTGAATAAAGCGAAAAATGTTCAAAAGAATCAATATATTCATTATCATAGTCATCAATGTCATGATGATAAATTCTTCTTATATATTCATCATAACCATAAGAAATATATTCCTTGGTGGCTCCCATCAAGAGTTTATCATCTTTAACCAATTGTTTTAATACTTCGCGATTTGTAAATTTAATAGCAAGTTCAAACAATTTTATCTTTTCTTCCGAGTTTAATTTAATAATGGAATCCTTTAAGCAATTTTAATAAAGTCCTCCTCGGAATCAAGAATTAAATTTTTACAGTAGGGTTTAATGTTTCGATTCATTTTTTAAATGTATTTCTTCCTCAGGTACCCGTAAATCTAAAATACTTCTAAAAAAGTTCAATAAAAGTATAGGACATGTAAAAAGTTACTCATACGTGTAAAAAGTTCTGATAAATCCAAGCCGGTATGGATTTATCAAGTTTTTTTTACGTATGAATAGTCACTTTTGAAGAATATATCTAATGTTAAAATTAGAGGTATTCATAAAAAAACTGTTGGTGTCTTTCTTGAAAATCACCATTATAATGATGCGCATTAGATCATATCTAATTACAAAAATCGAGAATTAATCGATGCTCGCGATAGTAATGGTCAGCACTCGTTTCATTGTTTGCTTCACCTTAATAAAAATGAATTGATTTAAAATCGAGAAGATCCAGTACTAAGTGTAGAGCAAGATTGCAATAGTCTAACGAAGTTACCAAATGCTTGAAATTTTATTGGCTCATTATACTTTTAGAAGTGACTATATTCACACGTAAAAAAACCCTGATAAATCTACATCGCGTGAATATAAGGACCTTTACATTAACGCGGCGTGAATTTAAAGCCCTTACATGTCCTTTTGTTACTGGCTCTACGAAAAATTTAACTTAATAATCTTAGTAAATAAATAAGTTTTATGATTCATCCTCCAGTCCATATTCAGGCTATTCGCGCGTACCGAAAAAATTCGAACATTTTCGTACGGAAGCAAGGAGTCTAATTTTTAGATTGCAGTAAATTAATCAGATGGACAACTTTAAAAACTAACAAATTATTTAAATACGTACGCACTTTGTGTTTAATTAGTCTGCAAAATTTTTGATAAAATTAAAAACTTATTCTGTTAAAATCATTACTGAATTTATTTAAGATATATTTCATATGAATTAATTGTTAGTAAATGTTGTTTATAAAATGCAATGTTTGTTTAATCTTAATTGTTCATTATATATATATATAAAGGTAAAGAAAATTGAAATAAATTAAAGATGGTATGTTGAGTCTTGATTAGAATAAAATGTCACTTAAATTTTTATTGACTTATTTTCTCATAATTATATTGTTGTTGACAAAACAACAAACGTATGCTGACAAATGATAAGATATAAATACGAAAACAATAACTTTATGGTAAATTTAATAAAACTAATAATCTAATGAGGGGATTAAAAGTGACATCTGAAACCAGTGAATTGCTACCTGCGATGAGTCACGTGTAGCCGAGAATCACGTATACGGTAAAAAAATTAACAACTAGAAAAACAATATCAGAGAGGAGGTAAGGGTTGGGGGAACAATAACATTGCGTTTGAAAACGCAAATATTTTTTACTTGAATAAATTACCAAAGAAGATTGCAAACAGTAGTGGGAGAACTTCCTTGTTAAGATATTAGAGGTCGGCAATTTTCATTAAATGCAAATCCCACCTGCACTTTTTTGGTCCTAATATATTCAAGCTCCAATCTCATATTAACTTGTAGATGAACATAAACCTCCATCAAAATAACGCCAATCTTATCAATGTTCGGGACAATGTTAGGATATAAAGTTTTTCTTCTTACTTTTGTTATATCGTGTGCATCCGCGATAGATTTACGTAAGTATTTATAATATTTTTTTTTCAATTTTACAAATTTGTAATTTGTGTGATTTGGTTTTTTACAGCGGATTTTTTGCAAGTCTGCAGTAGAAATGATCCTAATCTCAATGACTGCATAAGAAGAAGTACTGACTATCTGAAACCATATTTAGTAACTGGTGTACCTGAGTATCATATTCCGTCGCTGCAGCCGTTATTGCTGGATGATCTCGTTGGTGAAGGCCATGGTGTCAAATGTACGTGCAAGAATATTAAAGTTTTTGGAGCAGCTGACTATTCTGTTAAATATATCAAGTAAGTACCTAACTTTATGAAAACAATTTTAAAAGTCTGATAGGGTTGTAAAATAAATTTTTTTATGATACTGAAGTTGACAAACATAAAAAATGTGCTTAAAATTTGATGGAAATTAAATTATTATAAAAGAAATTTAATTAAAAAATTTCACATGTGAAAATTAATAAAAATTACAAGTGAAAATTTTTAGAAGCATTTTTTTATTGTAATTGATTTGTGATAAAAATTTTTAAAATTTACAGCTGACGGCTAACTTCAGTATTATATTTTTTTCATCATTTACTTTTAATAGTTTGAGTGACTAGACTACAGAAAAGTGCAAGATTAAGTGCGTTTTGTGAGATGCATAAATTTTATCAAAATATTTAGGTAGATTTTTTTTGTCAACCTTAATTTTTTATTTAAACTGAATTGATCATCATGATAAAACTTAGTTCATGTGTTTTGTTTTTAATTTTTCTGATAATTAAAAAAAAATTAGTTAAGTTGATAGATCACTTTAAAGATAAAAATTTAAAGTAACAAAAAATATCTCTTTTGTAACTTTAATCTCATAAAACTTTTGTATAAAAAAAAGCTTGTTCACTTTCACAATTAGTCATTAAGTTTGATTTGAATAGTATTTTTACCTATTTTAAATTTGTTGTTTTTATCTAATTAAAAAAGACATATCTCATATTTTGTACTATTTCTCTTATTTTGAAAAAAATAATTTTTTCAATCATTTAATGTCGTTTTAAATCGTTTAAAATTATTTGAAATTTATTTTTTAGTGTTTCCTTTTATGAGACTAAAGTTAACAGATACTTGACAATTTTTTGATGTTTCTTTAAAAATAAACTAGACATAGAAAATTATTTATAAAAATCTCATTTGTAATTTTTCAGAGCTTCTAAAGATCAAGTTTTTAAATAAAATTTTCTTGCTATAATTTGTTTATTGAAAAAATTCTAAAAATTATCAGATGTCTCTCAATTTCAGTATCATTTCCTATTTTTGTTCTTATATATAAAATTTTTGCATTAAAAAAAAAATAATTTTAAAAAAATAGTGGCATATTTACTTAAAAATTATGATCATTCAATATTGTGAAGAAATTTTAATCATTTAAATAAATGATAGATGTCCAAAAAAAAAAAATTTATGAAAAAACGATTTTGAAAGTTGTTTATCGAAGATTGCAAATTATGTCAAGTTTATAAATATCAAAATAACAATCGTCACATTTATTTAAATATACTTAATATTCAAGTAATTTTTGTTTGTTGATCGTAGACATGTACGTTTTAAATATTCTATAAACGTATATTAGATGGCCGTGACATGAGAAACATATATATAAATGCTTCGAAGAATTGTTACAATATGATTAATAAAAAATACAATATATAATGTACTATATATTTAATTCTATAATTTTTTATTTGTTGCAGTGTGGACTTGGCTACACTAGAATTCAAAGTTGATATTTTGCTACCGCACTTGTACGTCGAAGGAACGTATGAAGTCGATGGAAAAGTTTTATTGTTACCAGTTACAGGAAGCGGAGGTTGGCAAGGTAACTTTACAGGCTGTGATGCATCGGTCACTTTTACAGCATCGACAAATCCCGACGCTTCTGGAGTTAAACAATTTCATATTGAGCAATTCGATCTTAAAGTAACAGTAAGCAACGGTTATTTACACTTTGAAAATCTTTTCAATGGTGACAAAACGATTGGGGATCTTGTTAATCAGGCGATAAACGCTAACTTTAATGTTTTTCTACGTGAAATTATGCCCTTAGTCGAACATACGCTGTCGTCAACTTTTAGAGATATCGGCAATGGTATTGTTAATCCTTTCAGCTATGATCAACTTTTCCCAATGTAAATTACTAAAATTAAAAAATATAATTAAACTCTGTAATTTTGACTGACTATGCTGAATAAAATCGGCATTTCTTATTTAAAAACATTATCTGTTTTTTAGTTTAAAGTAATTTAGTAAATATTATCATTATGTAAAACAAAAAAAAAATTGTTAGGAAGCAAAAAATTACCGTCAATATTATTTTCATTAGATTAAATAAAAAAGTATTGATAACATTTTATCAATTAAAAAAAAAAAAAACATTAACAATAAAATTCTTTCATATGAATGAATACGTAATATGTAATCTGATGACAATTTGAAGTATTTGTTGAAAAATAATTTTCAAGATCACGTAATGTTTTAACCATATAATCACCTAATTATGGTTAGCTAATCATCTAATGATTTTTCATAATAATCTGTAATTGACCAGAGATGTACTGCAAAAAAAATTTATACATTATATGTGTCTGATAAAAAATATTTATTAAATTAATTAAATCTATTTACTCATCATTTGATAAGCAATAAATAATGTAAGTTATAAAAAAAAACTATATATTGATCACGCGAGGATAATGGGCGGTTCATGAAGGCCAACAATTAATGTAAATCAACGTATTTTTATTTTCTTCCTTATTTTATAATCACATATAAGTCAAACATATATAAATCAGCGAAGTAATGAAACATTTAAAAAATAGTATCTATGATTATTTACTCGTCTTGACAGTTAACTATAGTTTTTTTTTAGATTATACTAACCACGTGCGCTCTTTCTCACGTGTACAATGTCAATGTCAACCACCAGTTCATGACAAATAATTTACTACGATTACGTTTAAAAATTAACGATATCCAACTATATTTATCATCGAGTTCTCTGAATAAGAAAAAAAATTAAATACATAAATAAAAAAAAAAGTTTATTCTCGATCGGGGAATAATTCGTCATATGTGAAGTTTTTACATATTTGATTGGCTATTTCAAGTATTTTTGCGGATACTGCTTTTTCGATATGAGGAGTAATGGTATCAAGGATTTCTTGTCTATTTCCGTTGATTACGGCATTAACTGCTTCAGAGAATGTAGCAGTTGGTCCAGTTTTAGCGGTAAAAACTGACTTGTAGTCCCCAATTTTCAGTTTGTTTTTCATGCTGGAGAAGAACATCTGTTTGCCTTTCTTAGTGTTCACTAACTGGTATACCATTGTTGAGTTAGATTCGATGTCCTCTGTCAAAATAGGTTCATTAATTAAGAGTATAATATTTAAAACTTTGATAAAAATGAACTTACTGTTGTCGATTTCAATGGGACCGGTTCCTTCAACTGGAACTATGATTTTGGCTTTTACGTCATAATCGCCCGTCAACCTTAATCTTTTAAAAAAAAGACGAACATCTATTTTCTGATTTTCAAGATCTACGTTCAGCCCTCTAACTTCAAAGTCAAGAGCATTGTAAATTTTAATATTTGATGCTCCAGCTTTGAAGTCCGGAGAATCACTTAATGGAAGTCCATCTTTGAGGAAAACAGGATCCACCGGAGGCACACTGAGCTCAGGTATTCCTTCGCGTAGTTTTGGACGTAATTTATCTACACTTTTTATAATACACTCGTTCAAATTTGGATCTCTTCGACCACATATTGGTATATATGATGCTGAAATATTTTTAGATAATTAATAATTGCATTTATTATGTAAATAAAATTGGAAAGAAAGTATTTATTGTTGTATAAAAAATTAGTTTATATCGTTATGTTGTTCATGCAAGCAACAAAAAATTTCTTTAGAAAAATATGGGTATTGTTGTGATAAGAAATCAATTTGCTGAGAATTTTCAAAATTTTTATTTCTTAACTGAAGACTTTCTTCATGAAGAAAAGTTTTTGTGCTTTGAAAAAGAAAAAAAAAAAACAATTTTAAATAGACAACTTGCAAATTTTTTTTCTCAATTCTAGAAAACTTTTTTTCAACAAGAAAGTTATTGTGTGAAAAATTTTTATTTCTTCAGCTAAGAAATAAAATTGTTAAAAATTTTCAACATAATTTCTTATTACAACATTGCTCATTTTTTTCAAACGAAATTTTTTGTAAGACGAAAAAAAATATACATTTGTTTTTATATTCACATCCGATACGATATTATTGAGTAATTAAAAAATAATTGAAATCAAGTAAATTATTTCAAGGACTCTATACAAAAATTAATTCAAAAATCTTCTTTAAATAATTTTTAAGTCAAGGGCTTTTCAAGTCAAAGCCATCTTTCCTTATTCTCACTATACTCTGTCTAACAATAATTAATCTTCAGTACGCAGAAACATCTTTAAATACTTTTTTGTTTTTCTCAGTATAAGTATCAGTCATTATTTCCAGTCACTGAAATAATAGCAGTTCATTCTTTGTAAGTTTTTCTTCAATAACACTATTATGTTTTTATAACACTTTTTTTTTGTTAGTGTACGTTTGTTTAGTGCGGCATTGAATAAACTTAGTCAATTTAGCCTTGTGTGGTGTTCAGAAGTCAGTTCCGTAATTTACGCTTACATTGTAATCATTTTTCAATGGGTAATATAACTAATCCAATCAGAAAAGCGATTAATAAAATTATTTTCAGTAAATTAAATATAAATATAAGTAATGTGATATTACTGAAAAAAAAAAAAAAAAAAACAATATGAATATTTTCAAACCATGCCTGTAAAAATTATTATAGTAGGTATACTAATATTATAAAAAGGTCAAATTCATGTTTCAAATCGTCAAAATTATTATCAGTCAATAAGTTTAAATAATAATTAAAACATTTAATTACTGTCAATTTTTTTGAAAGTATATCATATAACGAAAACATAACAATACTGTCGTTTTTATAATTTGAAAGCTTTAATACTGATATACTTTATCTGGATGCGCATTTAGAAAAAACGATTAATTTAATTATTAATTATTACAATACTGAAGTCACCAGACACTTGACAATTTTTTAGTTTTATTGCAAGAATAAATTTATATTAAGGAAGTATATTAAAAAAAATAACAAACATAGTTTTTTTTTTTAATTTTCACGTGCTGAATTAAAAAAAAATTTTCTTTATAATTTATTGTTTAAAAAAAATTTCGAAAAAATGATCACGTGTTTGTTAACTTCAATACACTGATAGAAAAATTAACTTAATCCCAAAAAAAATCTTAAATACAATGAACGACTTTTAAAATTTTCTTGGTTCAAGATTTTATTCTCTTAAATTAAATGAAGTCTTCTAAACAGTGTATTAGTTGATTAAAGAAATATAATTCATATCGCTTAAATATTCAATTTTTATTTTTCCACATAATAAATATATATAACAAATTTTTTCATGAATACTTATACAGAATTTGTATCACTGTATTATTAAACTCGGAACAAGCGTGATGCTATTTTAAGATATCGATATATTATCTCAACGTCACAAATTTTCCGTACCAAATACATTTAAAGTTTACAATACTTTACTCCATTAAATTAATATCTCCTATTTATTATTAAATATAATAATAATAATAATTATTATTATATAATTTAAAAGAGTATTGAGTAACACGTTCGTTTTTTATCGACAGTATAACATCAACCATATTATAACTTTAAATTAAATAATTATCTCAACAATAATACCAATTATTCCCGATCGGGGAACAGCTCATCGTAAGTAAAGTTCTTGGTAACTTTGTTGGCAAGTTCGAGAATTTTTCTGGAGATGGATCTTTCAAGACTTGGAATTATTCCGTCTAAAATTTCTTGTTGGCTGTTATTGATAACTGAATTGATAGCTTCTGAAAAAGTTGCATCTTGACTGTCATTAGGGATGAATTTCGAGTGGTAACTAGCAATTCTCAGTTTACAGGTCATTGACGGGAAGTGCATACGCTGACCTTTTTTGGTGTTCACTAAGCGATAGTGTATAGATACCTTTGCGGTTACGTCGTCTGGAAAAATAAAGAAAATTGATTAGTTATTACAGTCAATAATGTTGTAAGGTAAAAGACCCCATAAGTGGCACCTTTAATCCCTATTAGTGGCACTTTTTCTATCAATGAAAAAATGTTCTACTTGGAAAAAAAATTAAAAATTTTTTTGATCTAAAGGTCTTAAAGATTAGAAATAATATATTTATTATTGAAATTAATGATTTAATCAATTGAATAAGTACCAAAATCAACGAAAGTGTCAGTAATGGGGTCTTTTACCCTAGTTAAAATTTGTGTAATTCGATTTAAATGAATGTTGATGGCACTAACATCTTTTCCATATCGCGTTTCTAAAGCTAAAAGGGCGTAGCGCGAATTATCTTTTCTTGCTCTACAGAGCAAAAAGGGCGTACAATGAATTTTTTTCGCTCTAATCAACCCAGGAATATTAGAAATGTAAAGATTTACTGAAAAAATGAAAAATGAACATTTTTTTAGCTACGCTCTTATTGCTTTAAGAAAAAAAAATTCTTAAAGCAAAAAAGGTGTATAAGTATTTCGTCAAAAAAATTTTATTTTTATTTTCTAACTTTCCGCGTATTAAATTAAACGTTTTGAACTTTTGGCTAAAAAATTAAAGATTTTTTTTAATTCGAGAAATCAATGAGTTTAGTTAGATTTTCAAAAATAAAGCTTTTATCAAACTCCGACGTTGTGCTATCTCAAGAGTCTACTTCAGAAAATTTTCAATTTTTATAGCAATAGAAGTTTAAAATGTTCAATTTCTGATTTAGAAAGTTAGAAAATAAAAATAAAATTTTCTTATGTACGCCCTGTTTGTTTTAGGAAAAAAAATTTTTAATTATACGCCTTTTTTTACTTTGGTAATTTTTTTTTTCTTGAAGCCGACTAGGCGTATCTCGAAAAAAAATTTATTTTTCATTTTTTAAGTAAATTTTCACAACTGTTACATTTCTTAGTTGATTTAAAGGAAAAATTTTTTGTTATACACCCTTTTGTCTTCAGGAATATATATATATATATATCAATTTTTTTTTTAAAACACAATTGATGTAGATATTATTCTTGATAGATTTTCTTAATATTTGATGAAATATTATTATTTTTAAACTCGATATTGTCGTGATCGTGAAAAAAATAATTATGAAATAATACCGGTCGGGCCGCGTGAGTTCATTTTAACCTTTCACTATAGTATTAAAATTAAGTTCACATTGATTCTATTTTTTCATAGTATTTAAGCATAGTTAAAAAAAATGAATTAAAAAAATTTAAAAATTTTAAACTTTAATTTCAACTCTCTGTAAGTTAGTAATTATAACTTAAAATACCTAACATTTCATTAGAGCTTTGACATCAAGGTTTTATTGTATATGTTCCAGAACATTTTTTTACTGTTTCTTTTAGATTTTAATTTTTTTGAGATAAAAATTGTTTGAATTTTTCGACAGCTGGCCAAAAAGTTTTCAATTTCTTAAGAATTTCCATGCATGTATAGTATAATTTTCCAAAAAACTTTAATTCTATTTTTCACTTTTTCATGCTCACAGTACTGTTAAAATATTTTTTTTCACGAAATTTCCACTAGTATGAAATAATAAAAAATAAATCTAAAATAGACTTACGTGCATCAATTTTGATAGGTCCTTTTCCAGATACTGGAACAATTATTTTCGCAGTGACATCATAATCACCTTCCAGTTGAACTTCTTTGAACGATACGTCAATATCGATAGATTTAGCATTCAGGTCCATCTTAATGTTATTGATGATGAAGCCGGGTAATCCTAAAAGTTTAACTTGCTTCGCTGAGGCTTTGATTTCATTAGAATTAGCTAAGGGTAATCCTTCTTCAATTTCCAAGTATTCTATAGCCGGAACATTAAGCTCGGGTATGCCTGTGCGAAGTTTTGTCCGGAGAGATTCGACGCTGTTTTTTATGCATAGATTTAATTGAGGATTTTTCCGTCCACAAACTTTAATGTATGATGCTGTGTTCACAAAATCAATGTTAAGGTATTTTATAATAATGAATAATTTTATTGTTGGTAATTAAAACCTGCAAAAGATACTCACGGACTTGCGCAAAAGTCACCAAAACAAGAGCAGAAATAAAAAAAGAACATACTAGAACTTGCATGGTGTAATTTAAATAAAAATTACTTGTTTTAATATAAATATAAATTTATGGAATAATTAGTCACAGAGTTAATATGATGTGTGTTCACAATGGTTGTTTCTCAAAACTGAGAGTAATTTGACGATGGGCCAAATATATATACTTGCGGTTGACGATGATCATCATAACAACATAAATTCTCAGTTGAATTATTTATTGGAATAAGTTTATTTCAGGGTCATGGTTGGGCTGTCCTGCAGTGTGTCAGAATTTAAAGTCTTCCATTCACTTTGTAATCATTTCTTCCTTTTTTTTCTTCTCTCCTTTCGTATATTGAATACATGTAAACACACGCATACTCCAATTTTGTTTATTATTTAATCTTTATCCTTCATTATTAATTATCTAACTTGAACCCAAACCAAAATTTAATTCTTTAATTATAAAAATATTGTAACCATGATTATTAAAAATTACAAGTACATTTAGCTTTTGAAATATATTTCATTTAATTGGATAGACAATTTAGTGATGAAACGGAGCCTAATTATCGGCGTCTGAGTAAAGAGAAATATTTTTTTTTCTCGTGTGTGTATAAATATATAAAAATATATATATATATATGTGCCAAACACGCTAATGACTCGTGATCACTGTAACTATCGCATACTCTGTTACGGATCGTAGTATTTGAATTTTTGTAATTATTTGATTACTTTCGCTGATATGTTACATCTAATATTAATTTTTTTATTAACTCAATTTTATATATTTTTCAGTGATTGATTACTTTCATGGTCATTCAGTTTTTTTTATATAAAGAAAAAAAAATGTTTTCTCAGATAATTTGATTTTGTAGCACTTCATAAATATCAAAAGTTACTCAATAATTTTTTAGATTGAAATATTAATATAATTTGTTCAAAAAATCGAAATTAAAAATAACAAAAATATGAAATTGATAAACTTGTATTTTATACTTAAAAAAATTAAATGACCGTGAAAGTATATTTGTAATAAATTTATTCAAATTTGGATTATGGAAAGTCGATAATAAGTTTGTGCAATCATTATTATTGTGTGTAAATGTATTTTAAGCAGATGCAATTGTAAGTATTACAAATTAAGACTTTAAATTTAAATTTTGTCGAAAAAATGATGACTAAGTAATGAGAATTTTTGTTAGAGAAGATTAACTTTCATAACATGTTAGAAGATAAAAACTCGACATTTAATGCAACCGCAAAATACTCGCGACAAAATATCCGCAAAATATTTCTATATAGATTCTTTATATTATTGTTACTTTTATTATTACTATGTATTCATTTATATGAAAGGCCCTTAGGGAGCTAAGTCTTCAGGGTCTGAAATTTTGATAAATGAATAAATAAATAAAATTATTGTGTCGATAACTATTAAGTAGTATCTATCGTAACTATAATATATGACTGAAAAATGTCATCCAAATGATAAATTACATTTTTTGAAATACGTAGCAGACATATTGTGATCTTAAATTTCATGTTATATAACAGCGTTAGTTTAAATAAATGACTAATTTATTTTTTATGAAGCGCTTTAAAATTTTTTTTATGTTATTCTTATTTTCATAGATTATATTTTGCAACAATTATCTTCGTAATTGATTCGTGTTAAAAGCAATAATTTTTATTGTAATGTTCTAATTTTATTTCCATTTGATGATGACAGTTATATATTTACATTTGGGTTTGTGAGTCTTTCAATTGAATAAATTAACTAAAATTTATTTGTATCATTAATTTCTTATTCAGAATCAAACCCTTTAAAAAAGAATTTAAAAAGATTCAAAAGAAATCGTAAAGTGCAATATTGTGTATCTATACATTAATACAATATAGATAGACAGTTTGTTTATGATCAATTCATTTCAAATTTTTTGTTAACTTAGTAAGTTCTAAATCTTGCAAGTAATATTTTTAGCACATAATTTTTTTCTTTCTGAATTTACTACAAATTTTTTTAAGTAGAAAATTAAAGGCTTTTCTTGATAAAACTTTTACATCACTGATGTTTTAAATTTTTACATTAAATTAATTACATTGTATTAAAGACATGTAACTCTCTAATGTCATGCATCTTTCATCGTAGTCGGCACAATTGAATATTCTCATGAAAGTCAAGTGATAATATAAAAAAAAAAATTTTTATTCTTGCTCAATTCTAAATAATGTTTTGTGAAAACATTTTTTAATTTTTATAAAAAATTTACTATCTTCATTAGACAATTTAAAATTAAAATAATAAAGATAAAAAGTAATAAGAAAAAAATTGAATTAGTCTATTGAAAAAAATGAAGTTAAAAGATTTGAAATGAATGATGTAAAAAAATGCGTTTTCTAGAAAATAATAGCTGAAAGTAGACCCAACCGAAAGCAAGAGTCTGCAAGAGTATTATATCGTAAGAAGCATAAATAAAATAAAATAAAACTCCAAACTGCCGGGCGGGTTGTTCTAACAGTCAACCACATTAGTACATTACATTACTACATTCACTATGTTGCGTTTTAGCGGCAGTATTACCCCATTGCTGGAGTCGGGGGCTAAGCTACGACCAATGGTTGTCAAGTAGCACGAGGTAATCAACCTAGCCGAATGCAATAGTGCAATAAATTTCAGGCTTCAACCGGGTAACTTTTGCGAATTCTATCTCATCACTTTTACCAGCGTTAACACTCATTGGTGTATAACACAATATTTTACTTCAATCGTGTTTGTCTAATCGCAACGAAAACATCATGGTCGCTCTTATTCTCCGTGTGTGGTATGACATTATGTCATTTTTTATTATTTATATTGTTAACAAATAAATATATTTTATTTTTATTAATTTTATTATCATTAATTAATACTTAAATTAAGAAATATCACTAATGTTAATTTGAATTGGTAATTAAATAATACGACATATACGACCTTAAAATAATTCGGATAGTCGTCACGGGTTATTGCTACTATTCGTTGATCATTAATATTCTTAAAGTGAAAGAATAGTTTGTGGAGAGAATAAATTCGAAATTTTCGTGATCATAATGAAAAGATTTGATTGATGAGATACTAATATTATTTTAATTGTTTTTTTTTTATTTCTAGTCATTTTGTTTTGATTTTTTAATTTATTGAGATCTACGCAATCCAAAAAATCGAAGAAAAATGTATTTATTTTATTTTAATTAAAGATGATTACAAGATGAATTATCAATAATAATATATTTCATTTTATGAATTGCAGCATTTTGCAATAGTTAGTTAGTTTTTAACGTATAATTAATTACAGCATTTCCTCAATTTTTATGACGTAAACTATACTTTATAACTTATACACAATTAAGTATTTCATAATTTATTATGTTCATCTTTGTTTTTTGTCCATTTCCATTTATTTTATTTCAGTTTTATGACAATCATAATAAATCCAGTATTCGCAGTACTGCGTAAGTTTTTTAATTAAAAGTCAATAGTCCAATTTAAATTGTTTATTTCAGGTAGTTAAAAAATTACGATTTTATCTTGGTCTATTTTTCTTTTAGCTCCATATATTAAAACGTGCAAAAAAAGAGACCCGGATATTAATAAGTGTATATTAAACTCTATTGAAGAATTGAGGGACAAATTATCTAATGGAATACCCGAGCTCGATGCACCAGCTATTGAACCTTTAGTTTTAAAACATGTTCGTCTTCTCCGAGGACCGGAAGGTGCTAGACTTGACGTCAACCTTACTAATATTCAGGTAATAAACATATATTTATATTACTGATCTTTTGCAATGTAATGCGTGGAATCAAAAAAGGCATCGTTTTTAAGACGCAAAATTTTTTTTAAATTCTAGTAAATATTTATTTTTGTATGTGCTTATAATCTCATATTTTTCTACTCTGGTCGGTATAATTTGATTTTAAATCAAGCCTTTCAACTTAATTTGATCGGATGAATTTCAAAAAATTTCCTTCATCGTTATAAGGGTGATTCTCTGTAAGGACGTCTTAAATCTGTACAAAATTGTCCGACCAAATTATTTTTGATTTTATAAGAAAAAAAATTAACAAGGGCTACAAAACTATCAGCTTAATTATAATAAATAAACAGCCGAATTAATTTTTGATTTTTCGATATTTGTGTATCTTTTGCCATATAACATGACAGGGGACTGTTTTTTTTTTATCAAATTGAGAAAAATCAAGCAAACTATTTCAATGCATTCAACTTTTTAAGTTCTCAATGAATGTTTACATTAATTAGAATAATATTAAGACTTATGGATCCAATTTTATAAATAAATTATAAACAAAAATAGCTGCCAGGGGACTGAGGAGTTTTTAAGTGGCCCAGACACATATTTCCAGCACAAACGGTGATTTGACACTAAATAAAATGCCGATAAAGCGCTAACAGCCCTATAATTATTAACTTAAGGCTAGTTAGATCCTTATAAACTTTACAAAAGGTAAAATAACACGCTAGATTTTTTTTTTCGGCTTTGAACTTCTGACAGGGGACTGATTTCAAATGCCTGGGACAAGCTTTGATTTAATAAATTTAATGAAACAAATTAACTTTCGGTACTTTTTATTGAAGAAGATTGTTCGTTAACTAATTCAGTTTATAAACATTATGGACCAAATTATATATTATTGACGAATAACTTAAAATTTAATCTTAAAGTTTTAATTTTGGGACTGGGACAGCCCAGGGGACTGACATTTCGGTGGTTTACGAATTTATAGCAAAAAAACTAAAATTTATTCCATTTTAGTTTTCAATGCTCCAAATAGAAATGTTTTTTTACTTTCGTAATAAATTTTTTTTAGTAAAAAAATAACAATTTTTCTAATAAAAAAATGCCTGGGACAGCAAAAAACATCCTTACAGAAAATCACCCATAAATTGATTAATTTGATAAAAGGAGGAATAATAATAAACCTTGCATAAAAATTAATAAAGGTCAATTGTCAAAACCTCTTATCAAGGATGATTAAAATATTTTTCGCTATCCGCTTTTTGTGGAATATACACTACATATAAATAAATTAACTTTATATTATATTAATCAAAGTTTCGTTTTAATTATTATTACAAGACTAGTTCACCATAATTAATATCATTGTTGCAGTACAAAATAAAGACTAAAGATAAATTTGGATTATTGATAATAATCGAAACCCCATGTTGATTCATATAAAAGTGAAGAAAAATTTATTATTTTTTAATAACAAGTACACAAATTGACTTCACTTGAAAATGGACCTTCATCAATCTTTTTTTCAATGTCATTTAAAATAATTAAAATCTATGAAAATCTAATCCATTTCTATCTTTAATACTAGTTTTACTTTGGAAATAAATTTTATTTCAACTAATTCAGGGATAAAAAAATTCTAGAAAAAAAAAATATTCAAGTATCTTTTTGTAAACGTGAATAAGATTTTTCCTTATTGTTCTAAAACAACATTAAAGTTGCTTTATATACATTTCGTTAATATTCTCTATGTTAACTTAATAAACCCGTTATATAAGTTTAAAACACGGTGAAATTATAATAATTTATCATGTATTGAATCGACAAATAAAAATTTTTCATTGTACGTCAGCGTTATTGAAAAATTAGTATGAGTTTAGGGAAAAAAATGCATACATTATTCGTTCTGAATACCGAATTGTAGTTCAAATGTCAGCCAGTCTGAAAGACTTAAACCCTGTTGTAAACTTGTTGGCATTGGCCAGCTATCTTTATCATTTAGAATCCTCACTAATAAATAATATGGATGATGAATTTAAGGTAAAAGGTCCTTCTACATTTAAAATACGAGAATTTAAAGCCGACGTTGACGACGTTACTTTCACATTCAAAGTCAGTTTCGAATTACTCAGTTTCCGCGGCAAGTATGGAATAAATGCGCGGCTTTTATTGCTTAGACTTTCAGGAAATGGCGACATTACCGGAAATTTTAGTAAGTAACCCATAAAATTTTTTTCACACAAATTTCCACTTAATAATCAACTAATTGTTTATTTCATGTTTTTATAGCTGGTTATGATTCTGATGTAGTACTTCACGCAGAAAAAGTTATCAAAAACGATGACGTGTATCTCAATTTTGAGAAAATGAAAATTACAATTAAAATTGGAAAAGCTGATATCTATCTTTCAAATCTTTTTGGTGGCGATCCTATACTTGGTAAGTATCTTTGTAAAAATTTATAATTTTTTACTTTAATTTCGATTGAAAACATAAAAAAATCATATTGTAAATTAATTTTTAACATTATAAAATGAATCCTTGATTTTTATCGTCTCTATCTGATATTTTGTGACAATTTTTTATAAAACAATTGTATTGTATTATAATTCATTTTTATCGTACAAAAAATATTAATGTCTTAGGTAAAAGATTTGAATTATTTAGATTTTTTATTAAATTAAATTAATTGATACAACTATTGATTCGATATACATAAATATAATTATTGTTACTAATTATAAACAATTTTTTGGAGACGTAAATTAATACATTATTATCAAATAGACGTATAATCAATAAAATTATTAACTCACACTATTTCATTACGTCTCATAAAGTCATACTGTGAAATACATTAAGATCTTCGACGTTTTTTAATTTTTAATTTAATTATAGTCTTCGCGATAATTGTAGTTTTGCTTGCTTTGGATTATAAAGAGAACGAATGAATTTTTTTAAATCACCTAAGTAGGTCGTGGTAATTTTATCTCATTGATGGATAATCACACTATTTTCTCGCCAAGTCAATCAGGCAATTATAGATTATTTTTTATATTTTATATGCAAATTGATATAATCACGAGCTTGTAATATTCATACAAAATTCTATATTCTGTGATTGCTGTTATTTTTACTTGAATTTAAAAAAATTATAGTCATTCAATTATTCAAAGATGAAATTATGTTAAACTTGTATATAATTTTTTATGTACTTATTCACTGTTAAACATACACGTGATTGTTTTATACTATGATATGAGAAAAAATTGATTAAAAAAATATATTTATATATGATTTTATCTATCTGAAGATAATACTATTGATTGAAGTGAAGATGAACAAATAATTATATTTAAATAAAAAAAAATGATAATTTAAATACCTTCTGCTCTAAATTATTTAAAAATTTCAATTTTCTAAAACACTTTATAAAAAATTTTTCTTGAATTTTCAAAATTTTTTTTATTGCGTTTTCTTTATTGCTTCACATTGGATTTTAGCAAATTAATAGAAGTTGATTTTGTTAATTATCCACTATTACATCACTGATTCATCCGGTTTAAAATTAATGATGTTATTACAAAAAATACTCAAAAAAATGATCTCAATTCACAAAAAATTTTTAAATAATTATCTCAAGTAGATATAGCATACATCACTTCTGCATTTTCATAATAAAATTGTGACTTAATAATTTTGCAGAATCTATTTCGTCTTCTTTCCTCTTATTCTTATAAGTACTTTAATGATAATGAATATAATGGTATAAAGTAATGTAATAAAATTCTCGCAGGTCCAGCCAGCAATCAAATACTCAATGCAAACAGTAATTTATTAATAGACGAGTTAAAGCCTGTTTTGGAGTCAGCTCTTTCAGATTTATTCACAGACGTCGCTAATAAAATAACCAACTCTTTCAAATACAGCGAATTATTCCCGGACGATTAAGAGAATTATAAATATTATTATTTACACACTTAGTCGAAGAAATTGATATTTAATTTTTTTCTGGTAATGTAAACTTGAAGAATACTTTTCAAAAAATATTATGATGGTCACCATTATCACGGTTAAAAGTATGATGACATGAGTCATCAAATATTAAGATGAAAAAAATATAATGAAGGAAAAAAATTAAAAAATAAATCACGGTAAAATTTCATCCTTGGTCAAAGCACCAAGTGCTCTTGCAGCTAATGCTTTACCAATAGAGGCTGCTGTTTCTTCGATAATTGGATTTATTATGTCCAATACAAGTCTTGGATTTGAATTAAAGAATGATGTTGCGGCGTCCGCTGTTAATTAACCACATAAAAATACATTGTATATAATAAAATTGATTATTAATTTTTATATAATATAAAAAATAGTATTTTTTGTTCATACCTGCGCGAACTTGAGTAGGTGGTGTTTTTAATTTTATATTTCCACCACCAATTCGTAATTTTGTTGATAGTTTACTGAGCTCGATTCTTTTTACTTGATTTTTATCGACAACTTCTTTACCTTGAGCGCTTACGCGAACTTGGGTGTTTGCTGAAATTTTCAATTTTTTAATAAATATTTATCAATAGATTAAAAATTGAATTTTCTTTCTTTAAAGAAATTTTTACAATAGGAAAAAAAAAAAAAATTTACTAATTGAAGTTAACAAACAGTTTCATCAGTAATTATTTACAAGTGGGGTCAACCCCATTTTGGGCCATAACTACGTGAAAAATTAACATTTTCAAATTTTTTTTTGGATTCTACTTGTTTTTACGGCGCATTTATGATAAAAAAATGTCGTGAAAGAAAAAAATAAAGATTTTGATAGCTTTTTTGCCTTCAAAAGTTGGAAAAAATTTTGGCTCTCATGTTTTTGGATAAAATTTCTATTTTATCTTTTTTTGATATATTTTTTTTTTAAAGTACATAAAAAAACGAACAATTAAAGAAAAAAAGTTGAATATCACAATTTTCCAAAAAATTTATAAATTTTTTTGAAAATTTGTTAAAATTGTGATAATCAACCTTTTTTTTTTTTTTTTTTTTAAATTTTTCATTTATTTATGTATTTTTCAAAAAAAAAAATATATCAATAAAATCAAATAGAAATTCCGTTCAAAAAAATGAAAATTGAAATGGTTGACCCCGCTTGTAAATATTTACCGATTCATCTTTAAAAATGAAAAAAAATTAAATTCTCGTTTTATATCCATTATAGATTAAAATACTTACTAAAATTGCCTTTAAAAGCTCCATTGCCATTGAGTGATATTAATAAAAGATTACCCTTGACTTCATAATTTCCTTTAACGTGAATATAAGGAATACGAAGTCTCAAAAACACCGACAAGTCATTGGGCTTCGCTCTGAGTTCGTCGATCTCATAATTACTGGCACCATAGACTCTTACACTCGATAAATTAGCTTTGACTCTAATGGCGTCGAGATTGCGGTCAACGATTAGCGATGGTAAAGATAGTGGATCCAGAGGTGGTAATTTTAATGAAGGTATTCCTTTAACTAGCTGTGGTGTAAGAATCATTAATTGTTGAAGGACACAGCTATCATACGCATCCGGTGATTCCGATGGTGAGCATGGTGTCACTCCGGGTGCTTAACAGACAAACATTTTTTAATTATAATTCTTCCATCGAGTAATTTATTTAATCATTTAAAAACGATAAATAATTGAAAATATAAAAAACGCAGAAAATTTAAGATATTTTGTATCAAAATGTAAAAATAGAAATGAAATGAAAAATAGTGAATGAGTAGAATGAGCGAAAGAGGATTTAAAGCATGGGAGCTAAGAAAAAATTAAAAAAAAAACTTATTATGACTGCATAGAATTAATTTGATAATGATAGTGATTATCCATATAATATAACATTATTATCATTACGTATAAAAGTTTTCTACGGTAATACCAGTATGTAAATTTGTATAATTATTTAGATGTAACATTTTTAACTTTATATAATTTTTCATTGTCGTTTAACTAACGACAATAAATCTGAAGTTGAAAGTGTACTTTGGTTAGAAAGTGAAACTGTATATTAACGTAACTAAGTCGTTGAGCTTTTTATATATAGATTTGCAAAAGTGAAAGATCGGTTTACTCGCATAAATAATCGATTTATGAATAATTAAAATCATTGACAACCTGATTTTATATGGTAGGAAAAATTTATTGTGGAAAAGAAATCTTGACTTATTAATTGACAACTGAAAACTCGGACTTGTAGAATCTGTAACTGACTGATACTTATTTTTTATTTAATGATCTTTTTTGCTGGATATCTACTTATAAATAGGTGGAATTCTTTAAAATATAATACAGAAATCAATTTTTATTTCATCTTAGAAACGAAATTATATTTGAATAATTAAATGATTCAACGTTAGTACCATTAGTGGCACCTCTAAGCCCTATTAGACTTTTTCTTTAAATGAAAAAATGTTCTACTTGGAATAAAAAAATTTTTTTTTTATCTAAAGGTCTTAAAGATTAGAAATAATATATTCATAATAGAAATTAATGATTTCATTAATTCAATAAATACCAAAATCAAAGAAAGTGTCAGTAATGGGATCCCCGCTACTAATGGGGTCTTCTATCCTACTACACTTAAAAAAATTAAAAAAAAAAAAAAACTCGATTCAAGAAAAAAGCTTTTGAACCAAGATAATGATTTTCTTGAGCTCAATTATCTTAAATCAAGACCAAAAATTTTTAAGTAGTCTAATATTTATTAAAGCCAACGAAAATTTCTTAGTGAAGAATTTTTCTACTTGATTCAAGACGATGAAACTCTCTAAAAAGACTTTCTTGAATTAAATTAATTTTTTTTTTAGGCAATGATGCACCAATGTGTGAGTAATTTTTAACCTAAATTTAACAAGTCGATAATTTTTTGTAGTGCTGCTTGAAATTAACATTTATATTTGACAAAAAATTTTATTTTATTTTCTTGATATGTTATGTGAAAAATTAAAATACTACTAATCTGTCTTGATAAAATTTCCATAAAAAAATAAGTTCATTTTATCCTTCAATAAGTCAAAAATGATAGTAAGAATTATTTACTTTCTAAAATCGAGTAATTTCCAAATCCTAGTTAACAATTTAAAATTAGTCTTCCAAACCCATCAATTTTCCGATGGATCTGTTTTCAATACATCAAAATTCGCTGGTTTGAGAAAATAAATCAGAATGTTTGAGTAAGAAATGTGGATGTAGTGGTCAGAAAAGTTTGATTCTTTCAAATAACTATGATTGATACAGAATTTTTACTAAATCTATTCCAAATGTCTGATGCTAGGAATCAGTAGAGACATCATAAGAGTATCACGACTTTTTCGTTATTTGGAATATTTTATAGCGACTGAGGTCTCTTATTAGAAACTTTTTTTATCAGTACGTTCAGAAAAAAAAATTATTTTTCATTTCTTTGTAAAATTAAAAAAATTCCAATTTTCAACTGAAAATAAGTTAAGCGATAATTAATAAATCTATCAGTTAAAAAAATAAAGTCAATAACTTACGTAACTCTGCAAGCACTTTACCGGCATGTATAACAAAAAAAAACAAAAAAAAGTAATTAAATAACATCATAATATTTATAAGCCAATTCAATAATGAAAAATATGATAGAGAAATTAAAAAAAAAAAAAAACACGCTCTAAAAAAACACAATTTGAGTTGGTACTTGTTGGGCCGGTATGATTATAATTAGCGAGAGCGTTATTGAAAATGCACACGATGTACTCTACGTGCGACTATATATAAAGTAAGTGAACTTTCTCCGGTAATACCCCTTCTTTTTTTTTGCAATTGCAAACTTATCACGGTAGAATGCATGCTTTTAAATCAGTCAGGGCCGTATAAATCCTGACCCTTCCTTAAACATTTTTTTCCGCTAATGAAATGATGTATAATACCACCCCCGCTCTTCCTCTCATATGAGTATATACTCAACGCTACATCTATTTATTGTAATTCATTAAATTATCTGCATCTACTGCTGTGTTGTGTATGAATCTTTCCCATTATCTTTCTGTTATCAATTTACTATTTTTTATTTAATATCCATCCCGGTGAATCAACAAATCATTATTTTAATCGTCAACCAAATCTATAGCTTTCAAGGACTCATAAATAATACATTACGTAATTAATAGTCGTCAATGTAATAAACATTAAAATATTGTTGACCTCTTATTTTAGTTATCTTCCGAAGAGGATTAATTTTTTTAAAATGTCATATCAGGGTAAATAACTTTATTGAGCTTTTATAAATAATTTCTGATTTACAAATAAATTACAATGTTTATTAAGATAAATACAATAATATTTAAAGTTAAATGATAATTAGTAAACTATAGTTACGAATTATTTGGTAATTCTTTATACATTTTGTAAATTATAGCATCAGTAACGGTGTCATTAAGTGCTTTTGTAGCAAGATCGTCAGCTAACATCGCAGCAACCGCTTCGGCAGCCAATAAACCTGCAATTGGAAGTAACAAATGTAATTGCTAAATAATTTATATTACAATGTAAATATTATTTTACGTGAGTCCATATTGGAACATTGAAATCATAGATGTACGTCTCTACCAATAAAAGTTTGAAAAATATTAACCAATAGTTGGTCAATTTTATAGAAAAGTAAAATAAATTTGTATTTCCAATTAAAAACCTAAATTATTTAATCATAACTTTGATTAAATTATTAAAATGATTAAACTTGATTTTTTATGATACTATATTTTTGAAGAAATCGCGTTAGTACTTTTGTTTTGTTCTGTGTGGATTTAATAAAAAAAAAAGTTTTAATTTAAAATAAAATTTTGTAGCTTAGATTCAGCAAAAAATATTGTGGTTTAAAAATCATATTTATCTTTAAAAAAATAAAATCATTAAAACGTGAGTTAATAGAAATTAATAAAGATAAAAAAAAAAAAAGCAAACAACAGAAAAATTTAATATTTTGATTTATCTCATGACAAGCTTTACTAATTAGCATTAAAAACTTTCATAAAAAATTCTTTATTGTTGATAGTTAATATCAACTCACATTTTACAATTTTTCTAAATTTTTTCGTTAAAGCAATCAGCATTTAAAATATGTTTTTATTGCAAAGAGAAAGAAAATTTTTTTCAAATACTCAATAATGATACTTTTAAAATGCGATCGTCACGAATTGTGTGTGAAGTTTACACTTTATTACACGTCTCCAATATCATCAACCACAACTCTATAATAAGACAACGATTTATGAGTTTCAAATACTTGCAATAAGAATTATGTTTTTTTAATTGATAAACAATTATAATTATGTGGTATTATATCATTTAAGTGGATCAGTATTAAATATTAGCATTTATCGCGGATTAGTTATTACTGTGCAATCAATTACGTAACAATTACAGGAATCACTATTTTAATTCACTTGCGTGTTGAAGTAGCGCATTAGCAGTAACGCCCGGATTTAAAATGCTACCATAATAAAACCATCATTTCAAATTAACAAGAAAGTGATTTCATGATTTGATTATAATAAATAAATAAATAAATAAATAAATGTATTTGTAAAGAAAACAAGTTGACGTATTGGAGTAAAAATTGGAGGTTGTTAAGCGTAACTAAAGAAAGTGATAGCTTCACCAATAAAACCATTAATTGCTCTTCGATAATATTCCCAAGATGTCAATATCGTAACTCTATGAAACAAAATCGTCCGGATACTTTCATCGAAGGAATTTCACTGATCGCAGCGCAATGTGCGCGATGCCGTGACGAATGGAAGATAGACTTTTAAACCAACATGGTTAATACTCAGATATATATATATATATATATATATATCTACCTTGAGTTAAAATTTCTTCAACTGGTCCGTTCTCGTCCATACCCTGAAAAGTGACATTCTTGCTATTGGCTTGAAGCCTTGCCCTCGCTGCACGTACAATCATCGTTGTATTTCCAGTCTTCTTCAATTCCACGGTAAACTCTCCAGTTACGTCCGCTAATTTACATCAATGTATATAATTAATTAATAACATCCGAATTTATAAATAAATTTACTTACCAAATTTTGTTATTTATAAAATTATTTAATTAATAGTTTGTATGAATAGAACTTACTGAATTGCGCATTAAGTACTCCATCGCCTCGCAAAACCTGCTTTCCAACAGATCCCATAAGGACATAACCAGACTTTACTTTTATTAAGGGAGCATGAATTTTCATGATCACATGGATAATGTCATCCTTAATTGTAAAAAACAACATATTTAAGTTTATAATGATAATTAAAATCATATACATTACAATTAATTAATACTTACTTCATTTTCATCTTCATGAGCACGCTTTGTCCTCTTTCCATCAAACACTTTAGGTTCAGTTTCATTGCCAAAATGATAAGTTATCTCCATGCCTTCCTCAAAGTAACCTTGTTCCTCTTGAAAATCTTTAGCATATCGAATCAAATCTTTTATCCTTTTTGATTCTTCAGCAGTTCTCACTCCATCATTTCTTTTTAGCAATAATTCACTTTCTGTGAAGTTGTGGATGATAAATTTACGATGACTGTCCAGGTCCTGTCAAATTAAAATTAATTGCATTATTAAACGATCAATAAAAAATAACAAATTGTTATTAATTTTATTAGAGAGTGTTAATTAATTTTACCTTCATCAAGTCTGAGAGCCGATAAACAATTCTGTCTTTTTTCGGTTCGATCCTCAAGTTACCAAAGTGACGTTCTTTGTTACTATTTTGGTCAGCATACACGATATCGACATATCCAGGTTGATTTTCAAGTCGTTGAGACTCTCCGTTCCTGTCTTTAACATTAAAGGTTTCAGCGTCTTTTTCTTCATGCACACACGGAGGACGAGCTTTTAAGTTTAGAGAAAAACGCGTTGGGCTTCCTTTGTTGGTAAATGATTTTTGGGTTTCAACATTTGATTCAGTTACAAAACTTTGATGCTGATGAACCCTAGGGTCTTGATCTTGTTGTACTCTTCTTTGGTTCTCATAATTAGCCTGACTTTGAGCGTAAACTAAATACAGCTCCTGATCTCTGCCATGTGATTGTGATTCTTTTGGCCTTACATTTTCTTGTGGACGACTTTGATATTGAGGTTGTTGATTTCCACGATAATTATTGTTGTACCGATCACTATTACTTTGAGATCTTCTATTATCGAATCCTTCTTGATATTGAGATCCTTGAGTTCTTTGCGGTTGTTGTTCAGAATTTTGTTGATGTTGCTGATTAGTGAACCGTTCATCATTATACCTCTGTTGATTTTGTTGATTATTACTATACCTCTGTTGATTTTGTTGATTATTACTATACCTTTGTTGATTTTGTTGATCGTTGTTAAATCTTTGCTGACCATTAGCGTACCTCTGTTGACTTTGTTGACTGTTATATCTTCTTTGAGATTGATCATTAGCATACCTATTTTCACTTTCAGACTCCTCAAAGGTTTCAATTGGTTGAACTCTCAGCTCTTCACTATCCTGAGTTTTAGGCTCTTTCACTACTGTATGAAATCGATACCTAATTGAATCAATAACATTGCGATCGGAATAGCTGACATACCCAGCTTCATGTTCACTCAAATTAGACTTAACACTTCCTTTTCCGATGTGAATACTTTCCAGTGTTGATTGATTGAGACCAGCAATTTCAATGTTTTTCAAAATTATTCGATAATTTGTTCTATTTTGAGACTGGTCAACTTTTACCATAGGAATCCGCAGTGGGTCTAACGGCCCGATATTAGCTAGTCCACCATTGAGAAATTTTGACCAAAGATTTTGAGACATTTCCAGCAAACTAGTAGCACAGCTAGCTTTGCTGATCAAGGCGATCAGTAAATATAGTACAATTAATCTCATGTTTGTGATTCTTTTATCAAGACTAATTATGAAATTCAGTGTCTTTGGTTTTCCAAACAATTATCGGTTGGTAAACAATTAGGAGAATTACGGCGATTATAAAAAGTATCGTTAGAACGCCCGAAATCACAAAGCACATGAAAATTAAGGAAGATAAATCATAATTATAAGAAAAATAACTTAAGTTTGTAGATTGGATAATCGAGATGAAGACTGTAAGCTGATAGTGGGCACATGTGGTTTTATAGATGATCTGAGGATAAAAGAGGGTAGAAATCTGGGCCACGGACTACTATTATAAATTATAGTGAGTATGTTTGGATCTTAAACTATTTAGTATCTTTTTATTTTCTATTAAAGTGCTAAAGTAATAGAGGGCAAGGTTTTTGTTGTGACCTTACACTTATAAGTAAAACTATCATATCAATGATTACAATCATGCAATTTACATAACATCAACATGATAAATCGGCTATAACTAAAACTACGGCTTGTGAATTTTTGATGATTTTGCTGTTTAAAGAAATAATAAAAAAAAAAACTCATTTTATCGTTTAATGCATTGTTATAAGTTATAGTTTATAATTATTACGGAAATGTTTTGGCTTTCATTGGTATATCTGAGTGCTGAGGTTGAGAAATTATAAATAATTGTCAGCAAATTGCTCGTGATAGTTAAATAACGCATTTGGCATGTAATTATCGTTTCATGCCAGAGTTTTTATGTCTGAAACTTGACGATAAATTTAGTTTCAATTAAGATGTCTTATTGTAAGTTACTTATTTTTTTGGCTCTGTTATCGATAAGTCGATGTGCTACAGAAATTCGTAAGTTTTGTTTTTCTATTATTTTATTATTTGATTTTGGTTTAAGAATTAAACGAAACTTGGAGATGTATCCTTCGATCAGTGTATTAACACAAAATGGACTTGTGAGTCAGAGTCCTCGATGAAGAATCTAGGCAACGAGTCTATTTTCAAATAAATTATATTTTTGCCGCCGGTGTAATATGCTGATCAGGTGATCAGACAATGTCATTTTGCAGTAATATTTTTTTATGACAAGTATATTTAAAATGATAATCTGTATTCTGTAAACGTTTTCATAAATTTACTGTGAAGCATTTAGTAAAAAAAGGTCTAGTTAATTCACGACATTTTAAATTTCACATATAAACTAAAATTTTATTTTTCATATCTTTAAAATTTTACTTTCAATTTCGGTTTCAAGCTTTTAGAAATAATTATTTTGTTAGTATACTAATGAAGATTTTTTTACTTTTTGGTATTCTTATAAGAATTAAACATAATGCGTTTAATGTGACTTTTATTTATAAAAGCTTTTAGATATTAGTAATTAAAATTCTTACACTAAAGAAGATAGCAAGAAAAAATATAAATCGAATTTCTATTTTCAATAAGGAATGAGTTTTTTTTTTCTAAATCTGTTGAGATTCTATGTCACCTTCAACTTATTATACTGTCAATGTTATTGCAATCTGAAGTATTTTGTACATCCATTTGTGACGATCTAAATAGAAGAGATCGTTAGAAATGGTTTCTCTTTAAAGTCCATTTATAATAACAATTAAAATAATAGTAATTATTTACAAGTGGGGTCAACCCCATTTTGGGCTACAACTATTAGGTGAAAAACTAACAGTTAAAAATTTTTTTTTGATTCTGCTTGTTTTTATGGTGCATTTACGGTAAAAAAATGCCGTGAAAGGAAAAAATAAAGATTTCGATAGCTTTTTCTGCCTTTAAAAGTTGGAAAAAATATTGGCTTCCATGTTTTTGGATGAAATTTTTATATTATCTTTTTTTGATGTTTTTGATATATTTTTTTTTTGAAAAATACATAAAAAAACGAACAATTAAAAAAAAAAAAATTTTATATGGCCCAACATAGGGCAAAATGGCGTTGACCCCACTTGTAAATAATTACCAAAAATTTTTTTTATTGTAATAAAAATTTATTCGCTTTGAAAAAATCATAAAAATTTAATGAAATTTGAAAATTTCTTATTAAAGTATTTTTTCTTTTACACGTAAAATACAACAAAAAATACGAAAAATCATTATATTTATTAAAATTTTTGGTAAACATTTAATTTTTTTCATTATTAATGAACCCCTCATTATGAAGAAGTTTAAAATGAATGTTTGGAGATATCATCTCAATAATTAATATCATAAATATTAAATTGACGTGAGTTTTTTCTGTATTTTTAAACTGCTTATTAAAAAATTATAAGTTTTAAATTTTTAATTATAAAACAAATCAAAATAATATTACTGCGAATGAAAAATGATGTTGATACACAATTTAAAATATTTTTTCTTTTTCTTTTTTGAAGCATCATTCCTGAAAATATGTCATCGCAACGATCTGCGTCTAAACGAATGTGTGAACCAAAGTGTTGAAGCTCTAAAGCCATACTTATCAGGTGGAATTCCGGAATTCGATGTTCCACCTTGTGAACCATTAAAAATTCAAAAACTTAATATGCATCGATCAGAGGGAACAGTTGCAATTAAATCTAGTAATGAAAATATTGTAATCAAAGGAGCAACAAATTTTGTGCTCAAAAAAGTCAAGTAATAATTTTAAAATAATTTATAATTTTGTAACTAATGAAGTATGTATGGGTGATTTTTTTTATATCTGTGATTTTTTATACATAAAGTTTTCATTTTTATCATGATATCATATTGGAAAAAAAATTCTCAACTGAAGATGATGATTGAAGAAAAACCATAAAATTTTCTTGAATTTTTGAATCTTGAATGCAAATATTTTTCCTTTAATCAACTTATTTTTTTACACTTTGAATCAAAACTTTCTAACTCTTAATTAAAGGGATATTTTTCAATCAACACAAATTTTCTTTTAATGTCAATACTAAGGTTTTTTTTTATTTGAAATTTATAATTTTTGAATAAGCAACAAAATTTTTTAGGCCATAAAACTTACTTTTTTCAACCAACAAGATATTTTAAAATTCTATTTAAAATTTCATTGGTAACTTAAAATTTAATGCTATAATTAACCAAGTTATAGTAACATATGACTATATATTGTAAAAAATATGAAATTCTTCTAATTGAGATCATTTACAATTTTTAAATAACTTATTAATATAAAAATAAGCTAAGAAAAAATTTCCGACGTGTAAATAATTATTTTAATCGTTTAATTTTCCATAATCGCAGTGTTAATCTGAAAAAAGATCAAATTCAATTGGAAATCTTCTTTCCTGAATTTTCAATGACTTCAGACTATAAAATTAATGGGAAGATTTTGATGATACCAATCAAGGGAGAAGGCCAATTGACGGGAAACTTCAGTGACATCAATGCTGACATAATGATTCAGGGAGAACGCTATCAAAATAATATTGATAACAATACCTACTATCGAATTTGTGATGTCTTGATAGATTTTGATGTAGGAAACGCTAGCGTACATTTGGATAAGTTATTTAACGGTGATCAGACATTGTCGTCAGGCATGAATTTATTTTTAAAAGACAATTGGAAAATCATCACTGAAGATATTAAACCAGGAATCGCAGATAATATCGCTGATTTATTGAAAAAATACTCGGAAAAAATATTTTCCAAATATTCATTAGATGTACTTCTGCCAGCATAAATTTACAACAATAATCTTTTTTAATCTTAAAATTCATCTAACAATTATTGATGTAGCAGGTATAAAAATAAAATCAATGTATGTACTTATGTACTAATATATAAAAATTATATTTAATGTAAGATGTAAAAAATATTTAGAAAAATAATAGTGTGTAAAGAATATATTTTAAAAATAATAAATCGTTTTTACCGACAATTTATGGATGACCAGTAACGTCATCTTGTATAAATAAAACGAAAGTTTTTAGTCATCAGCTAATATATTTATCATCGATCAATTTCTTATCAATCGTTGCTAAATTAAGTTACTATTTTTCTTTACACATTGGCAGCACTGTCAAGTTGCCGATTATATCGAAAGTAACAAAATTTATTTATTCTGTAAAGATAAGTAATATAATAAAATTATATCTACGGGCTCTTTCTTCAATAAGATAGCTGGAGAGACTGGAACGGTTGGTTGAACTTACACTCAGACGTTGAATAAAAATTTTTTGAAACTATTTTTCCCAGGAATGGTGTGACGCGTTTTGGGCCCAAGACAATTCATCCCAGCGACAAATCAGATTATTGATTATTGGGCCCAGGATGAATTATTCGCGCCACGAATGATTAATGTTATAATTTGTTTATTATTTTTATATTAGTACACGGAGAAAATTTTATAGTAGAGTTTATTATCTAGTTATGTTAAAATCTATTAACTGAATTCGATAGTATATACTATAGTAAATATTATTTAAATAATTAAGTTAACCATCGGAATTGTAGTATTTACTATCCTGATGGTAGCTACTACTATTATGATGGTAATCAGTAATAATAACTGTTATTATTTTAATTAGTTACTACTATTATCAAAATCGTAATTCTTAATATAACCTGATGGTTGCAGTTACCATCAGTAATAATAATAACTACTATCTAAGCTAGTAAAAATATTTAAAAAATTAAGAATCTGCGTTACTATGGATGCATTTCTGAATAAACTATAAGCAGCTGTAGTGCACAAAAAATCGGGATTAAATTCGGATTGAAATTGTATTTAAATTTTGATTTGTCTAAAACAAGTTTCAACGCCAAATTTTTCAAAAAAATTTTGAAATATCCAAAAAAATCAAAATTTTCAATAAAAATTCAAATTAGAAAAAAAAACTTAATTTAAAAAAAAAAACTTTTTAAATCTTCAAAAAAATCAAATTTTCAAAAAAAAAAATTTTGAAGGGAATTTAAAATATTTTAAAATTTCAAAGAAAAAAATGTACATTAGCTAAAATATGAATCCAAATAAAGGATTTAATTAAGTAAATTTATATTATTTTTTCTTTCAAAATTTTTAAAATCTGAGATGGTTACAGTTACCATCTCCGATTGTAACAATTATAATTTATTATAACTACAATTATTATTTTCGATAGTAATCGTTACTATTATTAATAGTAACTATTACAATTGTCAATGATACAACCTATTATTTTGTTACTAATTAATTTTATTACCATTTTAAATAGTAGGAGTTACTATTTTTGTATAGTAGGTAGTATAATTAATTTTTGTCCGTGTAATGACTTTTATTCATAAATTTATATTTTGTGTTGTAATATTTTGGTAAAATTATTTGAGGATGATTTGTCGGGGATGAAATGTCCAGGATGAATTGTCTTGGGCCCAAAAATTAGTAAATCCCCAGGAACAAATTAAAATTTTGAAGATGATCGTTCTTTCTATTTATATTCAGAATAAATCATTTTTCAATTTACTTTTTATATCAAATATATACATTAATTGTGTTTCCGAAACAATAAAGATTCATAGATCATTTACGTGCAGCGTAATTAATTGTTTTCATATTATTTATAAGCAATTATCATAAGCATATAAAATTAAAGGAAGACTCATTGTTATAAATTTGTATTTATTTGAACTAAAGTAGTACGGTTAAGTATCAAATATGGTGTGCGACAAAGTAGGATGTAAAGAACAAATGATATGGTGTAAGTTATTCAATCACACGGTAGATATTTACATCTTCGCATGCGTTCTATTCGTAATTCACGGAAAATTTTTAATTACTTCATATAAGTTTGGGTAGAATTGTTAGACTTATTTTATGATTTTTCACCTGAGAAGCTACAGTCAGTATTCTCGTGTAAAGTCGGTCAAACCAAACGAGTATTTCGTAATAGCTGACTATACCATACAGTCTGAATTTATTCGTATTAATCTTACATATACACCTATTTATACTTGTAACTTCCACAAGACTTATTCTTTGATTATATTACACTTATATATGTAGAAATCATGCATAAATTTAGAATTAAACATCTTAAAAAGCTCAATATTTAGTTTTTATTATTTTAATTGACTCTAACATTTTCCCAAACATCAACACGAAAAATGAAGTCATTTTTAATAAAATTTGCATTTAGGGCGTTTTTCAATTCAGGATAAAATTTTATCCAATGATAGAATATATCTATATATTTCATATATATAAATATACTGGCAATAATAATTTTATCCTGGATAAAATTTTATCTCGGATTGAAAAACTGGCCCTAATAGTTTTTACGTGTGAAATTTTATTCCAATATTTTTTTTGTTATAATTCATTTGTTAGTAGCAAATTTTTAATAATGATAATTTTATGTAATTAATCCAATAATAATAGTAAAAAATTCTTATAGAAAATAGTAATTTAGAAAAATAAAATTTTTTAAAAGAACAAAATCTAAAAAATAAAATTTTTTGACTTTATAAGAATTTTTTTTATTAATTCTTCATGAAATATTTTAATTACCAATTACGGCCCTTATATCAAAGTAATGAAAATGAAGTTATATAAAACTAGAATAAAAGTAACATAAAAAGTTTTACTTTAAAAATATTTAGATAAATTAAAATTTTTTCTCTGTATCATTAATGTGTAATATAACGAAAACATTATAGCAGGGAATAATTGAATCTTTATTATAATATTCATTGAAAAAATTAGCATTTGTTCATTGATAATTATAGTTTGTAAGTTACAAGTAAGTTTTAGTTCCATGCCTTTGGTTATATGGCTACAAGTTATAGTCGTACACGTATGGTATGATTCTCGCTATTGCGGCAATACTAATTTTCTTTTTATTTCAAATATTAAATTACTACGCCAGTAGTTAACTGTCAAGACATTATTTACTCTAACTCTTTATACATTAGTGATCTACCTGTTACTGCTCCGAGATAATGTGCTATGTACTACTTATAGTAGAGTACACGCAAAATGTATTTGAAAAAAACTTTTAGCCAGTAATATTTAACATTTTTTTTATCTTAATTACTTTTTTTTGTTAGTAATTACTAATTACTGATTGTAATTATATATCACTTTGTAGTATTTTGAAACATTTTAAATTGCAGAGCTAATTGTTTTAAATCTATATACAGAGGTAGTATATAGTAGCTGAAAGAGAAGGTAAATATTCTCTGCATGAACTTCTATAAAATATTATTATTGTGCATGCTTGTATGAATGACGATGCAATACAGATATACAATAATATAATCCCTGATTTGACATTTTTGATAATGAAAAAAAATCATAAATTTACGCTACATTGAGACTACAGAAAGAAGTCGTATAAGAAATTGAATAAACATTAAGATATTATTCGATATCGCAATAAATTAAGTGTCCAAAATGATGGTGATCTAAAGATTAAGGTTATATGAATAATTTTTATCAAATAATCATGATCATGATTTATTTAACAAAATGGTGATTAAATACATGAAATTCATATAAGTGGTATCATTGGGAAGTAAGATTGTTTTACAATTGACATTTTTGTTCTAAAAATACTAAAAATAGCAAATAAAAATTGATACAATAGACAGTTGTTTTTATAATTGAATAATTGTAATATTGTTAATGCGATTTAACGTGAATAGTTGTAAGATGTCTTAGTTAAGAAAAATAATTTCTTAAGGTCAAAATTAAAAATGTGTTATCATTATCATAATATTCAGAGGTTAAAAAATACATGATGTGAATAAATTATATGAATAATTTTAATAACAATGACTTAAGAAACTGTGACAAGTGAAATAAAATTGTTTCCTGTCTCACAAGGTGAAAAACAAGTGTTACTATTTTGATCAGTTTATTTTGATGATAGTAGTAAATTTTATTTTTTCAGTAATTTTTCACTTTCGTTTGATATAATTATATGGGAACTACTTTTTTAAATAAAGGTTTCGAATTTTTGTGACAACTTTCACAAAAAAAACAATAGAAAATTACTTAATACTTTTGAATGTACTGTTGGAAAATAATCAAAGTTATTCACTTATCTGATTTTCGAATTCCATATGTATGTAACAATGGATACAAACCAAATCTTATCAAATCAGTACTTCCTAGTATACAAAAAAATTGTTAAAAAATGTTCACATTTTGTAACATTAAAACGTGACACAATTACGAACATTTTTTTAACTTTTCTCGAACAATTTTATGACTTTTTTTATCAGTCACACAAGACGAAGTTAAATTTCGTTCCAAATAAGTCATTTTCAATATTTTTTGGACAATTCTTAAATAAATTTTGATACGTGGTTGTAAGATGTGACTTAGGACAACTTGAAAACAGGTTTTTTTTCTGTGTGACTAAAAAAAAAGTCATAAAAATGTTCACAAAATGTCTAAAAAAACGTTACAAAATTCTCAAAATTTATCGATCAATCCAGACTCTGCATGTCTCAAAGCATTCTCGATTTTTTGTTAGGTGTTCAAAAAATGTTCGTAATTGTGTCATGTTTTGATGTTACAAGCTGTGAACATTTTTCTAACAATTTTTTTTTCTACACGGGAAGCACTGATTTGATAAGATTCGGTATTTGAGTTTATCATGCTTTCTTGGGGAGAAATCGACTTAAAACTTTCGAATATTAGAATTTTTTTTGAAACAGTACAAACAATCTTTTAGACAATTCAATTTACCACTTAGT